TATGTACCGTACGTCATTATCCTTTGGGTACCCTACGTCATAATCCTTTGTGTACCCTAAGTCATATTCCTTTGTGTACCCTAAGTCATAATCCTTTGTGTACAGTAAGTCATAATCCTTTGTGTACCCTAAGTCATAATCCTTTGTGTACCCTAAGTCATAATCCTTTGTGTACCCTAAGTCATAATCCTTTGTGTACCGTACGTCATAATCCTTTGTGTACCCTAAGTCATAATTCTTTGTGTACCCTAATTTTTTGATCCAACTACTTAAAAAATCTTAAGACGATATTTTAACACTACAATTAGTAAATGAGCCGTTTAATTTAATTACTCACGCTTAATTATGGTATTGTTTTAAAAGATTATAATATAGTTAAGTATTGAAATCACTAGGATTTCCTGTAAAATAATGTAGATTGATCAAACATCACTAGGCTAAGAGCCAAACATTTGAAAGACAAACTGTGTATGAACTAGAGTTGTTACATGTGGTAAATATTCAAATTTTGTCCATGCATCCCTCCTCCTCTCACACACACACACACACACACACACCGACACCGACACACACATGCACATCCCTTCATCTTTTTTGGGGAAATTTTACATTTTTTCTACTTCCATATCTATTGTCTAGTTTCAGCAGTAAAAAAAAAATCCCAGCCTTTTCTTCAATGTTCAACAAATAGTTGGACAGATTTTTTCACATTTCCAAACTAAAACCAACAAGACCTTGGTTTTTGTTTTGTTGTTGAAATTTTATTCTTGCATTCAATTTCAGAAGTCTGGTCTTCCATTCTGGGAAGTTTAAAAATGTATCAACCGAATAAATCACAAGCTGATTTTTAAAGGATTTCATTTGTAGCAGGGGGAAGCACTGGGAATATGAAGGTCTTCACGCCAAGTCATTTTGGTTGAACACCAAAGGACCAGAGGTTACAACAGTACTATATGTTATTTATTGTCTTTTTGTGTTTGTGTGTGGAGAGGTGTGTGCGTGTAGGTGTGTGTGGATGTGTGTGAGCTTTGTGTAAATGTGTGTGGTTGTCTGTTTGGTATGGAATATGTGTGTGTGTGGTTGTAATGTTCGTGACTTTATATATATACAGACACATATATATATACATATGTGCATACATGTATGCATATATGTGTATATATATATATATATATATATATATATATATATATATATATATATATATATATATATATATATATATATATATATATATGTTTATATATATTGTTATATATATATATATATGTTTATATATATTGTTATATATATATATATATATATATATATATATATATATATATATATATATATATATATGTTTATATATATTGTTATATATATATATATATAAATATATATATATATATATATATATATATATATATATATATATATATATATATATATATATATATATATATATATATATATCTATATGGGAACAGGACATTTCCCCCCTGTCAATTACCCCCCGGATATTTCCCCCCCGACATTACCCCCCAGAGTAATTACCCCCCCTGTCAATTACCCCCCTGTCAATTACCCCCCGCCCAGTAGGACATTACCCCCCCCCCCCCCCCGGACAGGGTTAGAGTTAGGGTTAGGGTTAGGGTTACGTTTTAGGGCTAGGGTTAGGGTTAGGGTTAATGTTAGGGTTAGGGTTAGAGTTAGGGTTAGGGTTAGGGTTAAGGTTAGGGTTAGGGTTAGGGCTAGGGTTAGGGTTAAGATTAGGTCTAGGGTTAGGGTTAGAGTTAGAGCTAGGGTTACGGTTAGGGTTAAAGCTAGTTTTAGGGTTAGGATTGTGTCTAGCTTTGGTTTTGGTTTTGTGTGAAGGTTTAGGCTAAGGTGGATGCTTAGGTTTTGGTATTTTTCTTAAGGTTTGGATTAAAGTAGTATATAGGGACAGTGGCGTAGCGAGGTCGGGTGTCACCAGGGGCGGCACTTAATAGTGTCACCCCCCCCAGAGACATAGAGACCCTTCCAAGGGACAAACTTTCAAACTTTCGATTTGAACCCCCCCCCTCAAGTTTTCGATTTGCACCCCCCCTCAAACTTACGATTTGCACCCCCCTCGAGTTTTTCTCTATATATTTTGCTATTTTTTGCCTTGGTGTCACCCCCCTTAATGGTGTCACCCGGTGCGGTCCGCTGCCCCCGCCCCCCCCCTCGCTACGCCCCTGTATAGGGATAAAATCCTAGTTAGAGTTAGGATTTTAACTTGAGAGGAGGGGGGGTAATTCCCCGGGGGGGGGGTAATTGACAGGGGGGTAATTGACAGGGGGGTAATTGCACCGGGGGGTAAATACGGGGGGGAAATGTCCGGGGGGAAATATCCAGGGGGGTAATGTCCTGTAGCCATATTTATATATGCGTGTGTATGTGTGTTTCTATGTATGATGTGTGAGTGCATGTATGTGCGTATGCGTGTATATGTGTGAATGTGTGTATATGTGTATATGTATGTATGTGTTTATGTTTGACGCGTGTTCATGTATATATGTGTTTTTGTTGTGTGTATGTTTCTATAAGTAATTGTCTTTATGTATGTGTGAGTGTATGTGTGCATTCACGTGTGTGTACGTGTCTATCTGTGCTAACGTGTTCGTGCTTGTTTATGTGTGTTGCAGTGTATGTGACTGTATGTGTACGTATATGTTTGTGTATGTTGTTTTTGTGTATGTTTTGTGTGCCGAAATATGTCTATATTTATTTGTTTTATGTATGGGTGAGTGTTGGCCTTAGATAACTTGTATGTTCTCCCCCCCCCCCCCTCTCTCTCTCTCCTCCTACTCTCCCTCTCTCTCCCCCTCCCCTCTCTCCACCCCCCCCCCCTTACACCAGATGTGACCTGTTGGCCTGAGATAACTTGTTGCTTGTTCTCCCCCCCCCCCTCCCCTCTCCACCTTCTTACAAAAACGGAAAGTGAGCTAAGAGATTGAGTTGCCGTTCCTTCAGCAGGTCAGCTTGACATTGGATTTTATTTTGTGTCTATCTGGAAACATCCTGTGTTCGTATTTCACGGCTACAATTCCAGCACCACCCTACCCCCTCACCCTCTATTGCTAGTTCCCGTCACCCCCACTCCCCCCACCCTTAACACAATCCTAAGAAAACGAAGGCTAATTCTAATGTGTACCAGAATTCAAAATGTTTTAAATAGTGTGCCACTTTTTATTATTTTGTTTACTGATGTGGCCAGATTTCATAGGTGAGATAGGTTGAACTGGACAAATATTTTGGCTCATGGTTATTTTATTGTTGTCGTTTTGAAAGTATACCATCAGCTGTATTGTGGAACGGCGTGGTTGAATGGTAGAACATACAACTGCTAACCCAAAATTCGAATCCCGGGTTCGTGTAAGTAGAACGTCCCAGAGTCCACCCAGCTCTGATGGGCACGTGTCTTATGTTAAGGAAAGTAAAGGCAGCTGGGTATAGTCTGACCACATTATCACTTAATATGCCGAGATCACGGAAACAGATAAACTCTACTTCACCTACCCATGGACAGGCAGGTTCGAAAGGGTATTTTACTTACTTGCAATATATTATAGTAGACTGACCGCGAAGGGCTCCCCCATGGTCATGAACAGTGTTTCTTCCAGATTTTTTTCTCCGGGGTGGGGGGGGGGGGGGGGGGGCGGACACTGTTAAAAGTGTATATTTTCTATATAAACTCCATTTCGTTCGGGGGGGGGGGGAGGGTGGTAACCTCCTTCGAAGAGATGCCTGGAGGAAACTCTGGCCATGCAGGATTGAAACATTTGCTGTGACTGTGTCGCAGCTTGCAGCATTTACACTAAGAGACAATAGTCAAAGTATGTGTCCGTAGCGACACGTGGTAAGCTTTGTAGTTTTTAGATATAGGCTGTAACTTGTGTGTATCTGGGGAGGGGGGGGGTCGTATTCTGCTATTAAAATGGATTTGTATTTTTAAATGAAGGTGCGTGCAAATTTAAAGTGCTCTCCGAATCTGTCAGAAAACTGCATGCGGTTTGTGAGGAACTTGTTAGTCCTATAGAAATTATTTTACATTATAAAACTAGAATGCTACCTGGGGCTTTATTAAGTCTAAACAGCTGAATGGCACGGAAGTAAAATTAAGCAGTGACTTATAATTTGCATCAAAAACACATCTAATAAGACCTTTAGTGTGCCTGCCAACCGCTGTTATCTAACTCGGGGACTTGTATCACTTAAATAACACAAAATGGTGGCGAAGTGGCCTATCAATGGGTTATTTTGTCATATGTGTTAGTGCTTGAAGAAAACTGCTTTTGGTTTTATTTTTTCCTATTTTACCAGTTAAAGTAGCTGAAGATTATGTCTATACAATTAACTGAATTTAAAAAAATTAAAAACGAAGGACTTAGCCTAAATCTATATTGTTTAAGTAAGTTTGTAGGTCTAAAAAAATTCCGTTGATTCTTAGTGATGTCAACAATACATCCTACAACTAATAATGTTTGCTTTAAAATCCCATCAGTAGCATGAGATCTCTAAAGGACAAATATTTGTCCTAAGTCCGTGGCCTGCTATAGTGACCACCATCTATGACAACCAGTTCACCACTGCGATCGTTGGTACTTATTCTTGTTATCTCTCTTCTTTGTTATTCACAACGTTTAATTAATTTAAAGACTTATTTTATTTAGTATCTACTTATAGGCCTATTTGAAATAATATATTCTTTCATTGTCACCAAAGACGAACGTATCTGAAAAGACAGAAAAGTGGGTTAAAATGGACTTGCAACATCACCACAAATCACTAAACTAGAGTTTAGATCCAAATAAAAGATAGCATATAAATTATAAATTATTTTTTTAAAGCAAATTTTAAACCATTAGCCAACTGCTAAAAAGTGATGGATCTAATATTTGGCTAAAAATCGAGCACCACAGCTGGCCACTTTCGTTATCTTCACCTCGGTCACAAAGTAAATAGTAAAAGAGTAGTAATTTAAAGACTTTACTTGAAGTGGGAGTGACAAATGATCGGGGTATTTGACAGTAGCGAACATCGTTAATGTTACAAATCTATATTTTTACAATGAAGCATCTGAAGGTCTAGTGTTAGGACCTACATTTCTAGATCTAAACCTCAGCCTCTACACTCTACTCAACTCTACTGAGAACTCTACTCTACTCTGGTCTATTTTGAAGTAAGGGACCAGACACTGCCACATTCAGGTCAGCAGTGAGTTGAGTTGACTCATCTGTAAAAAAATTCCATATATAATATTATATAGATTCTCTAGATTCTAAATATATAAGTATAAGATTTTAAGATTATAACTATAATAATTTTTTGAGTGAGGCTTGGCTGATGAATTATTAGATCTTAATCTAGATATCTAGATTAGAATTAGATCTAGAATTACTAGATTCTAGATCGCTATACTATACAGTATACAGTACACTATATAGTATATACATACTGCGGCTATACGTTAATGTCCTGTTCATTACTACTTTATTTAGGCTACAGCCAACACTTTACAAAGTTAAGTTAGGCCTTTAAATTTCCGACACTATATCGTGAGATTACATAAGTCTTATGTAATCTCACGATATAGTGTCGGAAATTATCTGGTAATGTTTGTTGTGTTTTGGTAACATTCATTACTGTAAACCCTAGCTCAGGGGTTCCCAACCTTTTTTTACTCTAGAGCACATTCTAAAATATTGGTAAGGTGGCGGGCACCACTTATTTTAAATCGCCAAACTCCTTCCATAACTTGTCATTTTCCCATAATTTATTGTCTTATTTTCTTGTTTTCTTATAAGATCTAGTCATAATGTATTAATAAATAATAAACAAAAATGTTTCAAAATAATAAAACTATTTGGCATTTTTTTCAAATTGCATACACACAGAGAAATGTATTTACAAAACGTAAAGAAAGTAAACAAAACACATAAATACAAAGAAAACATTTAATTAAAAAATATAATAAAGTCAATGTGATCTTTGGCATTGCATTTCATTGGTCAGAGCTTCATAATTAGGAGCGTATGACGATAATCCTGTTAGCAGACAATCATAAAGATGCTCATCGGTGAGTCGAGATCTATATCTTGATTTTATGAAGTTCATGTTTGAAAACAATGATTCGCATAAAAATATGTCGAACCGAAAAATGATTCAAATGGCACTAGCCGTTCCAGTCTAGCGAAAATAGTGCAGTCTAACTCGCCACTAGACAAGTTGGGACAAGTATCGAACATATTTAAAAAACCTAGGCAGTCAAAAATAAGTTTAAACTGTAACAAATGAATAAAAATAAATCATTTTTTAAAATAATGTTTATGAAAAAAGTTCTGTCTCTGTCGAATAGTAAGAGGCGGGCACATATGAATCGTTCAGTGGGCGCCATGGCGCCCGCGGGCACAGGGTTGGGAACCCCTGCCCTAGCTTATTTGAACCTTGAAATAAAAATAAACTAAGTGCATTAAATTAATGTTTTAACTGAATTTTAAGTTTAATTGACAAAAAAATAGCAACAATTAGTTAATAAAGTCGAGTGTAGTAATTACTAATTGTTTTTTTAAGAAACACAGAAAAAAACTTGCAGAAGATTTGCGACAACCAAATCTAGATCTAGTAAGTAAAATAGGACGATTAGATTTACCAAAATTAAAAGTAGCAAGAAAAATTAGAACAAATGTTTAGTAGCAGCAATAATCAGCGCATACACTTAAAAACATTAGAAATACAAAATAATTAGCAAAACAGTATTTAAAATGCAACTAAAATCAATCCATGCACATTTTGAAACTTACTTTACTTTACTCAGTCCTCTTTGCTCTTTATGGAGCATAGGGCCTCCACCATTTCCTTCCATTTCTTCCTATCCTCGGCTATTAATTTTGACATCTCCCAAGACATCCCTATTGGCTTCAGTTCTTCAAGAAGACTCCGCCTCCAGGTCTGTCTTGGGCGCCCTCTCTTCCGCTTTATATATGTATTAAAAATTATATGGCGGCAAATAAATGATGTTTTACAGTATTTTCGGTGGTTTCCTGAACGTCTTGACAGACTACGCCATTGTTTTACTGTTTTTTACTGCTGTACAATTCCGGAATAATAACCAACGCTATATCGTGATTTTACCCTTAGGACAGTCACTAGTAACTACTTACTAACTAAACTAACTAGATCTAGATCTAGATCTACATTAAAGTCATCTATATATATAAAGCAAAGTTGTCGGGTGCCCGATAGGGCACTTCCCGGCGCCGCAGGCGCGTCAAATTTGGCACGATGGTGCCTTGGGGCGATAGAACACGAGGGCCGGTGACGGTTGGCCGAAAAGTCTACGGAGAGGGGGTCAAAACTGACCTCGACTGACCGGCGGCTTATATGGGCTATATTACGAAAAAAAAATTCCTCCGACGACCCCCCTTGAAATTTTGTGAGGTGGTAGGAGAACCCCTTGGGGTGTCACAAAAAACTCGCCATGTCCGGGAAAACTTCGTAAAGGGGTCAAAACTGACCAGTTGTATTTCCCTATATAATCTTTGTATTTTATGGGAAAAACAGAGGATCATTTCAACGCAGACTTTAGGGTACTTAAGCTCAGTATATCTGGCTAATTTTTTGCATACACTACTATAGATGACTAGGCCGTATGGAAAAACTGTTGGTCAGACTCAAAGCCCTCGACGAGGGCTAAAAGATGATCTTGAGTGAAATTCTCCTTATATGAGATATATATATAAATAAATTGACGAACGATCCCCTTAATATTATGTGACGTCGTAGACCGACCCTGGAGGCTAACAAAAAAACTTTAATCCCGTCGGAAACAGCCATTATAGTTGTTAAATATGTTCATATACCGTAATTTCTTATATAAGCATAGCAACTGTTTGTAAAAAAAAAACAAAGACATACGTCATACGTTCAGTTTTCAAGGGAGGTAACGTTTTTTAAATTATTATTTTTCAAATAATTGTATACTATTTTAAACAGAAACAGAAAATGACGAAGTATAGCATTTGTTTTAGTACAAAATTAAGTTGTTAATTTAGTTACGTATCCCAATTAAATAAATAAATAAATTTCAAAAGGCAATGTAATAAAAACTATGAGATGTACTGTTCATGGAAGCTGTGTAGTTCTAATTCCATTTTACTTATAAATTGCGTACTTTCCGATATTTCTCTGAGAACGGTATTTAAATGACAAACTAAAACATTTTTTTTTTAAAGTTAGCATTACTGTTTAAATTAAAGCACTCAACACCAAATCCATCGCTAAATAATTAAGTATTCAAATTCTCAAATGTTATTTAAAAACCTAAGCGAAGCTAGGCAGTATGCCTAGTTAAGTATAAATTAAGTACATTTGAGTCAATTTTACTTTTTTTATTTAGGCCTAGATCTATTTAGTTATCATTATCCAGAAATGTTTGCTGAGTTTCATAAACATTAGTTACTGTTAAATTAAATCATATTTGATTTGACAGTTGAAACATAAATAAAGGTACCAGTGTACCTATCAATGCTTTTAGGTTTAATCGACATAAAAATCACAGAAACTTGCAGAAAATTAGTAGTCATTAGGCTAGTAAATATAAATAATAAAGCCTTGTGTAGTTAATGATTTTTTTTAAAAACACAAAAATAAAAAATTGAAGAAATTTAGCAATGATTTCAATTCAGGTTTAAGTCTTATGAATATAAAATTCCAAATATAATAATAATTTATAGGCCTAGGCTTAACATAGTTTAAAAAGCAAATCAATTGAAGCTCAACAATTGTTAAACGCTCTATAAATCATATTAAAAGAAGATAGTGCCAAATAACAAAATATGGTTTACAGTATTTCTGGTGTATTTCAGAATGGTGTGTCAGACTGTACGTCATTGTCTTAGTGTTATTTACATATCGTGCGATGGCCTAGATCTAGTAATACCTCCCGGGATCTTGTTATTATTTAATATAGGCCTATGATGTTAAGCCTAGCAACACAAAAATTTAAAAATTAATACATAGGTCTAAGATCCTTAATATTTCAGTAAGTTTTTATTATAAAATAATAGGATTTCTATTTAAGTAGGCCTATTACTTTTAGTTTATTATATGATTATGGCTTATTAATGGAAATCATGAATGTAGGCTACAAATTATAGGCCTACAGGCTATAATGCTTGAGAGATATCTAGGCTATCTATAGGACCTTATACAGTTATATTTAGATTAGGCCTATGACTCTTCAGAATTTTATTTTTATGGCAGGGTTAGAACTAGATCTAAATTATTATTGAATAGTGTTATAATAATACCTAGTAAAATCTACTATTTAATTAATATATATAATGTTATTGTTTATAGATTCTAGTTGTGTGCATATAACAGTTTAATTTAAAGGCCTAATTAATAGTAATTATATACATCATGTATTCTTAAAACAGCAATTTAACTAAATAAATATAGAAATGTCATATAGGACTTGGCCTATTGAATATTCAGCCATTTAAAATGTAGAAATTAAAAGAATGGATGCATATTGCCTTGTTAAATATAATTCAATAGGCCTATATTATTAGTCTAGATTAAATTTGAAACAAAAGTTTGAAAATAAATCTACAAACATAGCTTACTTATTATTACTAGACTCCCTGCTTACTTAGTCTTTACTTTAACTCAGGTTTAGGTTTACTTAAATAGTTTGGTTATTTTAGGGCTTTGGGTATTATTAATTTTTAACTTGTGCTACTGTTAAGCTGAATCTTATTATAATTAGCTACTGTCCTGATAAAATTTTCCCTTATGTGCCCAAATCTTACTGTAATTAACTACTGTCCTCATCATATTTTCCCTTATGTGCCCAAATCTTATTGTAATTAACTACTGTCCTCATCATATTTTCCCTCATGTGCCCAAATCTTATTATAATTAACTACTGTCCTCATCATATTTTCCCTTATGTGCCCAAATCTTACTGTAATTAACTACTGTCCTCATCATATTTTCCCTTATGTGCCCAAATCTTATTGTAATTAACTACTGTCCTCATCATATTTTCCCTCATGTGCCCAAATCTTATTATAATTAACTACTGTCCTCATTGTATTTTCCCTTATGTGTCTAAATCTTATTGTAATTAACTACTGTCCTGATCAAGTTTCCCCTTATGTGCCCAAATCTTACTGTAATTAACTACTGTCCTCATCATAATTTCCCTTATGTGCCCAAATCTTATTGTAATTAACTACTGTCCTCATCATATTTTCCCTTATGTGCCCAGAATACATGGGACTGCCACAAAAATCTCTTTCCACTTTTGCTGGTCTTTGGCAATATTTTTGGCCTTCATTTAACTACTATAGTTGTAATAATGTATACAATCAATTGACTCCACCCATTAATTCTACCATTTTTAATTTTTCAGGCAAGAGTCACTTATAGCGTAAAATGCCCAGCCTTAAAGTGTACAGCTTGAAGTCCCTTCTGTCCAATTGTTGTGTCTCGTCAAGACAAGTATTTGTCTCTAGAAGTTTCTCCAGCATCAACATAAACCCGCATCCAATCACATTTGAGAGGCTGCTGAGTGGTGAGTTAAATTTAATCAAATGTAGAATGTAAACTATTGCCCCCTAAATAAAACTCATAAATTTAATCAAATGTAGAATGTAAACGATTACCCCCTAAATTAAACTCAGGTGGTATAAATAATAAATAGTTTAATGCCATTGAGTTGTAGAGCAGGTATTTTTCAACATAGTTTATTTAAAAGAAATTATTTAATATTTTTCAGTTGAATTTCACTTACATTACAGAAAAACCCATCGCTAGCTTCACTGTGGCGCAAAATTTAATAAATTAGATCTTGTTTCACTAATGACACACTTTGTACTGTTAAAAAAAAATGTTTTGAAAAATTTTATTATTAAGGGTGATATTATTAAAAGGGTGTAATTTTTTTGTAGGGATTTGCTTGTTAACTTGTTTCACTTTGAGAAATCACAACGGCTAGCACATAAGTCTGTATCTTCTGAAACAAACTTTAAATGTAATGTTTAATTTTTTAAACAAAGATGAAAACAAAAGACGAGCCCAGGAGAGACTAGTGACTGTGGAGCCAGTTAGGACAGCTAAGGATTATGATCTGAAGTCTGGCCACTCTACAGCTGCCGTCCTGGTGCCACTCTGTACGGTCCACAATGAGCCCTCCCTGATTTTAACACTGCGCTCAACCAAATTAAAGAAACATCGCGGCCAGGTAAGGTAAGATAACACCCAACAGTCATATGACTTTTAGCCTGAAAATATTTAAGCTTCTCAGGATTGCCTAAATAATAGAATTATGCATGTATTCTAGACCTCGCGTTCAACATTTCTTGAACATCCCCCACCCTTAATGTAAATTATAACTCAAGGTTAAATTTAAGGTTATGGGCAATCATATCATTTTAGTAATACGTACTTGTTACACGTCTCTGTTAGAAACAAATCCAAAAACTAAAATAGTGCTAAAAAGATGTTTAGCCATATTTTAAAATTCAAAGTCTGTTTTATACATTTATATGCCACTATTTCCCCCCCCCCGCCCCCCATAAAAATAATGTGAACAATTCCTTACTTCACAGTTCAGCTGTTTTCTGAGAGAATTCAACTATGTAATTTTCATTTCATATAATCTTTACATTAGACAACCGATACAGTTGTATTGAAAAAACAGTGACCAAACCACATGGGTGAAACACTATGCTGGTTGGTTTGATGTAAAACTAAGGTTGCCATACCAGTGTTTGAATATTTGAATACTCTAATGGAGCCATTTTTAATTATTTTCTATCAATTGATCAGCTATATGAGAATTAAATTTAATTGAAGATTAAAGGGGAACGATTCAATTGTATATGTAAAAACTGTCAACAATTCTAGAGTTGTATCCCTTATATTGGTACAGGATGTCATGTTTTGTTTTAGGCAGGCTCCCATTATCCTGTTTCTTTCATTCAAGAAAATGTTTTGTTTAATTTATCTATATGTTTTCATAATCAGTCTGCTTCATGCCTGTAACTGTTATGGTCAAGTTAAAACCTTACATCTGGTAAAAGAAAAAACTGTTTTGTTGCTGGTTTAGCATATTGATTTAAAAAAAAAATTATTTTTAGTTTCCCAGGAGGCAACACAGATAAAAATGACAAGGACTTCATTGCAACAGCGCTGAGAGAAACACAAGAGGAACTTGGGTTGGATCCTGCGACCTTTGACATCTGGGGTCAGATGAAAAGCTTACCAGGCTCAGTGAGTAATTAATTAGATTTTAGAGGCTGTATGGTTCAGAGGTCATGTGGGGTTTGCAGACTTTAGTGGCCACCTGACATCTGCTGGTACGTTGTCCAGCCACCCCCACCCCAGCTGCTGTTACTGGTACATTGTCCAGCCACCCCCACCCCAGCTGCTGTTACTGGTACGTTGTCCAGCCACCCCCACCCCAGCTGCTGTTACTGGTACGTTGTCCAGCCACCCCCACCCCAGCTGCTGTTACTGGTACGTTGTCCAGCCACCCCCACCCCAGCTGCTGTTACTGGTACGTTGTCCAGCCACCCCCACCCCAGCTGCTGTCTGCTAGTAGCTGCTTGTCAGACGTCAGCCCAGACAATTTGACTAGAGAACAAATCCCCAGCTTTACTGAAGTCTGTGGGATACAACCAACAGTTGAAGCTCTATTTTATTGATTGTGACATTTTTATTATCTTGTAGTGGGAATGGGGGGGGGGAAGATTCATACATTTATGTCTGAGTCTAAAGATCTATATTTTTATTATTTTAGGGTAATTTTATTTTTGTCTCCCTTTTACAAAGTGCCAGATTATATAAATCAGTTGTTTCCCTATACTTGTTTCACATTTGGTTTTGACATCAACAAACACTTCTCTGTTCTCTTACTTCTCCCTTCTCTTACTGACACACTTCTCCCTTCTCTTACTTCTCCCTTCTCTTACTGACACACTTCTCCCTTCTCTTACTTCTCCCTTCTCTTACTGACACACTTCTCCCTTCTCTTACTTCTCCCTTCTCTTACTGACACACTTCTCCCTTCTCTTACTTCTCCCTTCTCTTACTGACACACTTCTCCCTTCTCTTACTTCTCCCTTCTCTTACTGACACACTTCTCCCTTCTCTTACTTCTCCCTTCTCTTACTGACACACTTCTCCCTTCTCTTACTTCTCCCTTCTCTTACTGACACACTTCTCCCTTCTCTTACTTCTCCCTTCTCTCTACTCCCACTGTAACCCTACAAACATCTCTCCCCCCCCAGGGAGGCAACAAGGTCGTGTACCCCATCCTAGCCTGTACGGGTGAAGTTGACCCCAGTCAAATGCCCATCAACCACGACGAGGTGGAGGAAGCATTCTGTGTGTCCATCCGCCACCTGTGTGACCACCAACACATAGGTCAGACATTTTTCCGCGAGGGTTCTGGCTACACGCTGCCAGTCTACACTGGGGCTACACATCGCATCTGGGGCCTGACCGCGGTCATCGTACACCAGGCCCTCAGTATCATAGCACCTGGACTGTACACGTACAAGGTCAGACACAGGAAGCCTTTATACCAGCTCAAGTAGGACATAACCCCCCACATCTATAGCTCCAAGCCTTTATACCAGCTCAAGTAGGACATAATCCCCTTTATACCAGCTCAAGTAGGACATAATCCCCTTTATACCAGCTCAAGTAGGACATAATCCCCTTTATACCAGCTCAAGTAGGACATAATCCCCTTTATACCAGCTCAAGTAGGACATAATCCCCTTTATACCAGCTCAAGTAGGACATAATCCCCTTTATACCAGCTCAAGTAGGACATAATCCCCCACATATGTAGCACCAAGATGTAATCTGAGAGAAACATTGGCCTTCAGGCCACACATAACATTACAACTAAATAATTGATCTTTAGGCCTGTGTAATTCCTTTTACATTCTTTAAGAGTCAATACTACAATGGTAGAGTGGTGCCGACATGATGTCTTGTAAGTCTAGCATTAAATATTCCAGAGAGCTGTCATAGTGATCTCTCTTTATCAGTGGGAAACAACCTTTGCCCTTTAACCTCTGGTGACCTTACAAGTCGTAGGGGTTGATATTGTGATATGTATTTATATATTCGTTAAAGTAAAATTGATCTTATATTTTTATATTCTTTGTGTTTATCTTATTTTTTTTTGTTTCAACTCATTAGTTGTTTTAACAAAGTTTAACCCACTTATACCACTCAGTGGCGTCACTAGGTCTAGTGTCACCCGGTGTGGTAACTGAGGGTGTCACCACCCGGTGTGGTAACTGAGGGTGTCACCACCTGGTGTGGTAACTGAGGGTGTCACCATCTGTTGTCGTAACTAAGGGTGTCACCATCCAGTGTGGTAACTGCAGGTGTCACCTCATGTGGTAACTGCAGGTGTCACCATCTGATGTGGTAACTGAGGGTGTCACCATCTGATGTGGTAACTGAGGGTGTCACCATCTGATGTGGTAACTGAGGGTGTCACCATCTGGTGTGGTAACTGAGGGTGTTATCATCTGGTGTGGTAACTGCAGGTGTCACCCGGTGTGGTAACTGAGGGTGTCACCATCTGGTGTGGTAACTAAGGGTGTCACCATCTGGTGTGGTAACTGAGGTTGTCACCATTGGTTATGGTAACTGAGGGTGTCACCATCTGGTGTGGTAACTGAGGGTGTCACCATCTGGTGTGGTAACTGAGGGTGTCACCATCTGGTGTGGTAACTGAGGGTGTCACCATCTGGTGTGGTAACTGAGGGCGTCACCATTGGTTATGGTAACTGAGGGCGTCACCATCTGGTGTGGTAACTGAGGGTGTCACCATCTGGTATGGTTATTGAGGGTGTCACCATCTGGTGTGGTAACTGAGGGTGTCACCATTGGTTGTGGTAACTGAGGGTGTCACCATCTGGTGTGGTAACTGAGGGTGTCACCATCTGTTGTGGTAACTGAGGGTGTCACCATCTGGTGTGGTAACTGAGGGTGCCACCATCTGGTGTGGTAACTGAGGGTGCCACCATTGGTTGTGGTAACTGAGGGTGTCACCATCTGGTGTGGTAACTGAGGGTGTCACCATTGGTTGTGGTAACTGAGGGTGTCACCATCTGGTGTGGTAACTGAGGGTGTCACCATCTGGTGTGGTAACTGAGGATGTCACCATCTGGTGTGGTAACTGAGGGTGTCACCATCTGGTGTGGTAACTGAGGGTGTCACCATCTGGTGTGGTAACTGAGGGTGTCACCATTGGTTATGGTAACTGAGGGTGTCACCATCTGGTGTGGTAACTGAGGGTGTCACCATCTGGTATGGTTATTGAGGGTGTCACCATCTGGTATGGTTATTGAGGGTGTCACCATCTGGTGTGGTAACTGAGGGTGTCACCATTGGTTGTGGTAACTGAGGGTGTCACCATCTGGTGTGGTAACTGAGGGTGTCACCATCTGGTGTGGTAACTGAGGGTGTCACCATCTGGTGTGGTAACTGAGGGTGCCACCATCTGGTGTGGTAACTGAGGGTGCCACCATTGGTTGTGGTAACTGAGGGTGTCACCATCTGGTGTGGTAACTGAGGGTGTCACCATTGGTTGTGGTAACTGAGGGTGTCACCATCTGGTGTGGTAACTGAGGGTGTCACCATCTGGTGTGGTAACTGAGGATGTCACCATCTGGTGTGGTAACTGAGGGTGTCACCATCTGGTGTGGTAACTGAGGGTGTCACCATCTGGTGTGGTATCACCCCACCACCACCCTCCAACATTTTAGCATTTTGTTAAGTGTCACCCCCCCCCCTTCCCCTGCATTTCATTCACCTACATGAGCATGGGTTTAAAAATATTAATTTTAATGATTAAACACATGTACATGTAATATACAGTTTCTTTTCATTCTTGACATATTCAACAACGTAATACATGTTGGAATGTCAGTGTGCTTATATCATAGAGCATAACAAGGTATGTTTTTGGCATGCAGCATGACATACAAAATGTATGTCTATAGCATACAGCATGGTATACGATATGTATGTCTACAGCATACAGCATGACAGAAGCACCATATGTACATAAGCTGAGATCCAGCAGTGTAGTGAGATTAATCCTCATGGCCGTCCTTCACACTTGAATACTTCACAGAATTTGTCACTCCTCCATTTTCCCCATCACTTGCCTGTTTGTCTGAGCTGAGACTGGCCTGTTTGTCTGACCTGGCCAACTTATCAGGCCCAGGAACCTCCACGACTGTGTCTGGTGCCAGCTTGGCCCACTCCTCCTCCTCCCCCACTGCGAAAGCGCCAAAGACCAGGGTCCCCAACAGACACAGTCCCCCGCAGATGTAGAAGACATTCCTCCATTCCTCCTGGCTTTTCTGGCAGAAGAAAGAGACCATCAGTGTGAGCAACCATTGTTGTCACAAAGTTGTATACATTTCTAGTTTAGAAGTGTAAAGACAGATATTGAAACATGTTTATCAACCTTGTAAATAATTAATACACTGTTGATAAGTCTGAACTGAAGAAGTCAAAGAATGTTTTGCATATTGAAATCCTATCTCTTATGATTACATATATCAAGTCCATTTATCTCTGTATCTATTCTATCATAAAAATCCCTTGATCCAACATATCCCATACATCCATTCATCTCACCCATCATATAACAGAACATAGATTATATCCTATAACAGAACATAGATTATATCCTATAACAGAACATAGATTATATCCTATAACAGAACATAGATTATATCCTATAACAGAACATAGATTATATCCTATAACAGAACATAGATTATATCCTATAACAGAACATAGATTATATCCTATAACAGAACATAGATTATATCCTATAACAGAACATAGATTATATCCTATAACAGAACAGATTATATCCTATAACAGAACAGATTATATCCTATAACAGAACATAGATTATATCCTATAACAGAACATAGATTATATCCTATAACAGAACAGATTATATCCTATAACAGAACATAGATTATATCCTATAACAGAACATAGATTATATCCTATAACAACATAGATTATATCCTATAACAGAACATAGATTATATCCTATAACAGAACATAGATTATATCCTATAACAGAACAGATTATATCCTATAACAGAACATAGATTATATCCTATAACAGAACAGATTATATCCTATAACAGAACATAGATTATATCCTATAACAGAACATAGATTATATCCTATAACAGAACAGATTATATCCTATAACAGAACATAGATTATATCCTATAACAGAACATAGATTATATCCTATAACAACATAGATTATATCCTATAACAGAACATAGATTATATCCTATAAGAGAACATAGATTATATCCTATAACAGAACAGATTATATCCTATAACAGAACATAGATTATATCCTATAACAGAACAGATTATATCCTATAACAGAACATAGATTATATCCTATAACAACATAGATTATATCCTATAACAGAACAGATTATATCCTATAACAGAACATAGATTATATCCTATAACAGAACATAGATTATATCCTATAACAACATAGATTATATCCTATAACAACATAGATTATATCCTATAACAGAACAGATTATATCCTATAACAGAACATAGATTATATCCTATAACAGAACAGATTATATCCTATAACAGAACATAGATTATATCCTATAACAACATAGATTATATCCTATAACAGAACAGATTATATCCTATAACAGAACATAGATTATCTCCTATAACAGAACATAGATTATATCCTATAACAGAACATAGATTATATCCTATAACAGAACATAGATTATATCCTATAACAGAACATAGATTATATCCTATAACAGAACATAGATTATATCCTATAACAGAACATAGATTATATCCTATAACAACATAGATTATATCCTATAACAGAACAGATTATATCCTATAACAGAACATAGATTATATCCTATAACAGAACAGATTATATCCTGCCACCAACTCACATTAGGGGTAAGCGCCCCAACCACCATGGGCGCCACAATGCCAGGGACGGTGGCCACCATGTTTGTGATGCCATACAGCACCCCCGCGTACCTGGGGAGATAGAGCATGGGTTATGGGACGGTGGCCACCATGTTTGTGATGCCATACAGCACCCCCGCGTACCTGGGGAGATAAGAGCATGGGTTATGGGACGGTGGCCACCATGTTTGTGATGCCATACAGCACCCCCGCGTACCTGGGGAGATAAGAGCATGGGTTATGGGACGGTGGCCACCATGTTTGTGATGCCATACAGCACCCCCGCGTACCTGGGGGAGATAAGAGCATGGGTTATGGGAGGTAGATAATAGCATGGGTTATGGGAGGTAGATAATAGCATGGGTTATGGGAGGTAGATAATAGCATGGGTTATGGGAGGTTGATAATAGCATGGGTTATGGGAGGTAGATAATAGCATGGGTTATGGGAGGTAGATAATAGCATGGGTTATGGGAGGTAGATAATAGCATGGGTTATGGGAGGTAGATAATAGCATGGGTTATGGGAGGTAGATAATAGCATGGGTTATGGGAGGTAGATAAGAGCATGGGTTATGGGAGGTAGATAATAGCATGGGTTATCGGAGGTAGATAATAGCATGGGTTATGGGAGGGAGATAAGGTCATGAATTATAGGTAATAAATTACATGAAAATTTAACTTTTATATTCTTGTTGTTTTTGCCTATTTGGTCTCGAACCACTGCCTTCATCTCATCTGCTTCGCTGCATGAACTCTAATAAAGCCTGAAACTCTGGCCAGTGGCCTGCTTGTGTTGGCACCTGGCCAGTGGCCTGCTTGTGTTGGCACCTGGCCAGTGGCGTGCTTGTGTTGGCACCTGGCCAGTGGCCTGCTTGTGTTGGCACCTGGCCAGTGGCCTGCTTGTGGTGGCACCTGACCAGTGGCCTGCTTGTGATGGCACCTGACCAGTGGCCTGCTTGTGGTGGCACCTGACCAGTGGCCTGCTTGTGGTGGCACCTGACCAGTGGCCTGCTTGTGGTGGCACCTGGCCAGTGGTGTGCTTGTGGTGGCACCTGAAACTTTGGCCAGTGGCCTGCTTGTGATGGCACCTGGCCAGTGGCCTGCTTGTGGTGGCACCTGAAACTTTGGCCAGTGGCCTGCTTGTGATGGCACCTGGCCAGTGGCCTGCTTGTGGTGGCACCTGAAACTTTGGCCAGTGGCCTGCTTGTGATGGCACCTGGCCAGTGGCCTGCTTGTGGTGGCACCTGAAACTTTGGCCAGTGGCCTGCTTGTGATGGCACCTGGCCAGTGGCCTGCTTGTGATGGCACCTGGCCAGTGGCGTGCTTGTTGTGGCACCTGGCCAGTGGCCTGCTTGTGGTGGCACCCAACGGCCGTATGTAAAAATACAGGTCTATGTCCAACTATCACCTAGCTAGTGTTCGCCGTCATACAGGCCGTGTCTTATTAGCGTTATAAGGACGCTGCTATGCAACTGGCTTTTGCTACCAGTGTTAAACCACCAGGGCCGTACTAGTAGCTGGTGCTACTAATGTTGTGCTACTGGCTTGTGCCGCTAGTTTAATGCTACCAATTTGTTCTACTGGCTTGTACTACTGATTTGTGGTACCAATGTTGTGCTACTGATTTGTGCTACCAATGTTGTGCTACCAAAGTTGTGCTACCAAAGTTGTGCTACCAATGTTGTGCTACCAAAGTTGTGCTACCAATGTTGTGCTACTGGCTTGTGATACCAAAGTTGTGCTACTGGTTTGTGCTACCAATGTTGTGCTACTGGTTTGTGCTACCAATGTTGTGCTACTGGTTTGTGCTACCAATGTTGTGCTACTGGTTTGTGCTACCAATGTTGTGCTACTGGTTTGTGCTACCAATGTTGTGCTACTGGTTTGTGCTACCAATGTTGTGCTACTGGTTTGTGCTACCAAAGTTGTGCTACTGGTTTGTGCTACTGGCTTGTGCTACCAATGTTGTGCTACTGTTTTGTGCTACCAATGTTGAGCTACTTGTTTGTGCTACCAAAGTTGTGCTACTGGTTTGTGCTACTGGCTTGTGCTACCAATGTTGTGCTACTGGCTTGTGCTACCAATGTTGTGCTACTTGTTTGTGCTACCAATGTTGTGCTACTGGTTTGTGCTACTGGCTTGTGCTACCAATGTTAAACCACCAGGGCCGTACTAGTAACTTGTGCTACCAATGTTGTGCTACTGGCTTGTGCTACCAATGTTGTGCTACTGGCTTGTGCTTACCAATGTTGTGCTACCAATGTTGTGCTACCAATGTTGTGCTACTGGCTTGTGCTACTACTTGCCTGGGTGCAAAGTCCACTTGGTTCACCATGTAGCCAGAGAAGCAGAACCCCGAAAACCCCACAGCAATGGCCAGCAGGGCTACAGCATAGTTCCTGTCCTCACAGCCGATAAACCCAACCCCCACAATACAGGAACCCGCGCCGAGAAACGCTGTCAATAGACAAGTTGGTTAGACAGAGAGCACCTGTCAATAGACAAGTTGGTTAGGCAGAGAAAATCTGTCAATAGACAAGTTGGTTAGACAGAGAATTTGTCAATAGACAAGATGGTTAGACAGAGAAAATCTGTCAATAGACAAGTTGGTTAGGCAGAGAAAATCTGTCAATAGACAAGTTGGTTAGACAGAGAATTTGTCAATAGACAAGATGGTTAGACAGAGAAAATCTGTCAATAGACAAGTTGGTTAGGCAGAGAAAATCTGTCAATAGACAAGTTAGACACGCTGTCAATAGCAAATAAACACAACTCGCCAAATAATTCGCCAGCACTCAGTTCGCCAGCCACCTACCTACAGACTGAAACAAGCGCCGTGTAGCCGTTGTACTCAGGTACTTTGACCGCAGAAAGTCTGCCACTTGCCCGGACGCCAGGGAAGTAAAGAACATCGCCATGTATGGGGTAGACGACAACAAGCCGTTCTGGGGGGGGGGGGGGGGGGGGGAGAACGAAAAAATGATCAGAACAAAATTCTAACTACAAACCATTAGTCTGCGGAAACTAATATTATTGTTTGGAGTTGTGAGAATAGAAGTACCTGTGTGATGTCAAATTTGAGAACCTCCTTCATAAACGTGGGCAGGCTGGTGAGCAGTGTGTAGTGTGTCCAGTTGTTGCACACATGAGCTGTCAGACACACGTACAGGCCCTTGGACTTGGCCATCGATAGCCAGGGGACATTGAACTCCTGGAAAACATGACCTTGAACTAAGCAACTGCAAGATTACAGTTCCTCTCTGTCATGCAGCAATGTCGCTAACGGTCGCACCCTGCCCTTGAATGACGTCACTGTCACACTCTGTCAACGTCAGTGGCACCTCAGTAAGATGCAACGTATCGAATATTGTAAAGCCCCCACTACCTTAATGCCGTAACACATTAATTAAATCCCCCGCTCCTGTAACCACACCCCCCCCCCCACACACACACTACTCCCTACCTTCTGTGCTTCAGCCCTCCCTCGGGTCCGCACTATAAAATCCTTCTCTGCCTTAGAGATGGTGGGGTGGGTCTCTGGTGAGTCGGCCACCACAAGAAACCACAGCAACACCCACACCAGACAGCCGCCACCTGCAACAAAATACCTCGCGTTTTAAAATAGACTGGACGACCACAGGGGGCGGGGGTAGACACATTATGTTTTTGTTATGATTTTTATATACGCCTGTACCGCTGTTAGATTTTGGGCCTAGCAATACCCGAATAAGTTAGTGAGTAGTTTTCATGTGATGGAGTGAGTTGTTTTTATCGACCAGTCAGTGAGTTGTTTTGACTGGGATGTGTTTTTTTGACTGGGATGTGTTGTTTTGGTTGGCCTGTGTCAGAGCTAGATGTGTTCTCAAAGTTCGCTCATGACTTGCGACATAGCCGTCAGACAACACATGCAACTCACCAGTGACGTAAAATATGGAGGGCCAACCGCCATCGAAGCCGTCCACACACAACCAGCCGGACAGGATGTACGTCACAATGTTGCCGACATGTTGACCTAAGGTAAATTATTTTTACTTTTACCAACAAGTATCAGCCATTTTTTTTAAAAATTCAGTATTTTAAAAGTCGTATGTGCCCAAACAAAAATCACGTGACAGTTCACTGAGTAGCCCACCCTACCCCTCTTCCGACACAAAGAAGCTTCATCCAACCTTACCTATTGTCTGTTTTAATCTTTCTACAAATTAATAAGAAGAACTTCGTTTTTTATATGCCTACATCGGCTATAGGAAGTGTTTCTTCCAGACTTTTTTCTGTGGGGGGGGGGGGGGGCACTTGATATTTTCGGGGAGGCGGTCAACATTTTCCGGGGGGGGGGGGGCGGACACTGGTAAAATTATGTTTTCTATATAAATTTCATTTTGTTCGGGGGGGGGGGGTAGACTTTCTTCGGGATGGGGGTGGCGGAGCCTGGAGAATCTCTGGCTGTAGGCGACATCTTGTTTCAAGATGTCCAACTGCACTGGTCAGTTCTTGCATCATTGTCTAATGTCTGGTCACGTGGTTAGCTGGAATGGTCTGTCCACCTGCACTGGCCAGTTCTTGCATCATTGTCTAATATCTGGTCACGTGGTTAGCTGGAATGGTCTGTCCACCTGCACTGGCCAGTTCTTGCATCATTGTCTAACATCTGGTCACGTGGTAAGCTGGAATGGTCTGTCCACCTGCACTGGTCAGTTCTTGCATCATTGTCTAACATCTGGTCACGTGGTTAGCTGGGATGGTCTGTCCACCTGCACTGGTCAGTTCTTGCATCATTGTCTAACAGCTGGTCACGTGGTTAGCTGGAATGGTCCGTTGACCACCGGCTGTTTGTTTAATGAAACGGACAAACAAAAATAACAGGCTATCTGTTTACCTGCATAGGTAAACGATGTCAATTTAGTCCTCTCCAGAGGGGGCGCCCAACGTCCCATTAACGTATGCATGCTGGGAAAAGAAGCGCCCTGGGAAAAACAAGTCAACGTGTAGCGTACCAAACTAATCAAATATTGTATTCACGAGCCAGTTTATATGGTCCCTAACACAGGAACTCACAGAGATGGCTGTAATATTAAATAACTGCCTTCAGTTTGTTTGTTAAAAGGGGGTCACGCCCCCACTCACCTTACCCCTTACTTATTCATACTCCGCCCTAGTCTCTGGTATTTAAGTACTAACACTTTAAAACAAAATACTGAGCCGATGCAGGTTGAAGGCGAACTTAATCAGGTGTCAGGAATAATAAATAATTAGATTAAGTAATTAACACTGAGGGTGTAAATAACAGGCCGCTAAATAGTAGGGACTTAGGTCTTTTAATACAAGGATAGGGGCTTAGGTCTTTTAATACAAGGATAGGGGCTTAGGTCTTTTAATACAAGGATAGGGGATAAGGGCTTATGTCTTTTAATACAAGGATAGGGGCTTAGGTCTTTTAATACAAGGATAGGGGCTTAGGTCTTTTAATACAAGGATAGGGGCTTAGGTCTTTTAATACAAGGATAGGGGCTTAGGTATTTTAATACTGGGATAAGGGCTTAGGTCTTTTAATACAAGAATAAGGGCTTAGGTCTTTTAATACAATGATAGGAGCTTAGGTCTTTTAATACAAGGATAGGGGCTTAATTCTTTTAATATAATGATAGTGGCTTCGGTCTTAGAATACAAGGATAAGGGCTTATGTCTTTTAATACTGGGGTAGGGGCTTAGGTCTTTTAATACAAGAATAAGGGCTTATGTCTTTCAATACAATGATAGGAGCTTAGGTCTTTTAATACTGGGATAGGGGCTTAGGTCTTTTAATACAAGAATAAGGGCTTAGGTCTTTTAATACAAGGATAAGGGCTTAGGTCTTTTAATACAAGGATAGGGGCTTAGGTCTTTTAATACAAGGATAGGGGATAAGGGCTTATGTCTTTTAATACAAAGATAGGGGCTTAGGTCTTTTAATATAAGGAAGTTGTTTTTTCACTCTTCTTAGCTTCCAACATACTATGCTATTATTAATGAAATTGTATACGCCACTACAAAAATATCCTCACATAATCGACACTACCGCGACAGCTTTCAAGTTAGAGTATGCAGTAATCCCACCTACCTGTACGTGACCCACCAGGCTACGATAATCCCACCTACCTGTACGTGACCCACCAGGCTACGATAATCCCACCTACCTGTACGTGACCCACCAGGCTACGATAATCCCACGTACCTGTGCGAGGCCCGTTAGGACCCGCAGTGCAATGACGCCGCGATAGTCCCACCTTGCCGCCACTGGTACGAGCAGGGTGAAGAGTGCCGCTAAGCCGAGCCCCGTGCCGAGCACCCTCTTGCCTCCGAACCTGCCCGCCAGCCACCCCCCCGGGATCTGAGTGACGATGTAGCCGTAGAAGAAGGAGGAGAGCATCAGTGAGGTGATGGACTTGTTCCAGTCAAACTCGCCTTGCTGGTCAATACAGGGAGTGGACAGGCTTTAGGACAATAACTAGCTGGTCAATACAGAGAGTGGACAGGCTTTAGGACAATAACTAGCTGGTCAATACAGAGAGTGGACAGGCTTTAGGACAATAACTAGCTGGTCAATACAGGGAGTGGACAGGCTTTAGGACAAGTGCAATAACTAGCTGGTCAATACAGAGAGTGGACAGGCTTTAGGACAATAACTAGCTGGTCAATACAGGGAGTGGACAGGCTTTAGGACAATAACTAGCTGGTCAATACAGGGAGTGGACAGGCTTTAGGACAATAACTAGCTGGTCAATACAGAGAGTGGACAGGCTTTAGGACAATAACTAGCTGGTCAATACAGAGAGTGGACAGGCTTTAGGACAATAACTAGCTGGTCAATACAGGGAGTGGACAGGCTTTAGGACAATAACTAGCTGGTCAATACAGGGAGTGGACAGGCTTTAGGACAATAACTAGCTGGTCAATACAGAGAGTGGACAGGCTTTAGGACAATAACTAGCTGGTCAATACAGAGAGTGGACAGGCTTTAGGACAATAACTAGCTGGTCAATACAGGGAGTGGACAGGCTTTAGGACAAGTGCAATAACTAGCTGGTCAATACAGGGAGTGGACAGGCTTTAGGACAAGTGCAATAACTAGCTGGTCAATACAGGGAGTGGACAGGCTTTAGGACAATAACTAGCTGGTCAATACAGGGAGTGGACAGGCTTTAGGACAAGTGCAATAACTAGCTGGTCAATACAGGGAGTGGACAGGCTTTAGGACAAGTGCAATAACTAGCTGGTCAATACAGGGAGTGGACAGGCTTTAGGACAATAACTAGCTGGTCAATACAGGGAGTGGACAGGCTTTAGGACAATAACTAGCTGGTCAATACAGGGAGTGGACAGGCTTTAGGACAATAACTAGCTGGTCAATACAGGCTTTAGGACAATAACTAGCTGGTCAATACAGGCTTTAGGACAATAACTAGCTGGTCAATACAGGCTTTAGGACAATAACTAGCTGGTCAATACAGGCTTTAGGACAATAACTAGCTGGTCAATACAGGCTTTAGGACAAGTGCAATAACTAGCTGGTCAATACAGGTAATAGGCAATCAGCATAACAGTTTTAAAAGTAGTTTTACAATTTTAAAATCTTCTTTAGATCTAGATCTAGTTGTGTTTCAAATGTCCCTAAAATTTTCTTTTAAGCATCTCTTCGGGATGCCCCCCCCCCCCCTCCCCTCCTACGGAATATAATTTCTATACAAAATATATACTTCAAAACCAGTGTCCGCCCCCACGTCGACAGTGTCCAATGCCACCACCCCCCCCCCCCCTCCCCGAAAAAAAATGTGTGGAAAAAACCCCACTGACCTCACCCCCACCCCTATGAGTTTGACGCCATTTATAGACCACCCATTGCTTATCTTTTACTATTACACAATATGATGACTTGTGTATTCGCCTTATGCTTGTGATATACCATGGCGCCAAAGTATCGTTTGATTGATTACAAGACCAATGTGGGGGAGGGAGGGGTAACTTACGTCATGCGTGTCGTCAGGTGCAGTCTCGTTGAAGCACGTGTTTGTGACGTATGTGGCGCTGCTGTTGTTGTCTTTGACCATGCAGACGATGGCCACACTCAGGTTCACACGGAGCGAGTAGACGAAGAAAAATCCCAGCGTCCCAACGTAGGCCAGGTTCCATCTCTTAGAGCAGAAGTAGGGAACTGGGGAGGAACAACAAGTGTAGGGAACTGGGGAGGAACAAGTGTAGGGAACTGGGGAGGAACAACACATGTAGGGAACTGGGGAGGAACAACACATGTAGGGAACTGGGGAGGAACAACACATGTAGGGAACTGGGGAGGAACAACACATGTAGGGAACTGGGGAGGAACAACACATGTAGGGAACTGGGGAGGAACAACACATGTAGGGAACTGGGGAGGAACAACACATGTAGGGAACTGGGGAGGAACAACACATGTAGGGAACTGGGGAGGAACAACACATGTAGGGAACTGGGGAGGAACAACACATGTAGGGAACTGGGGAGGAACAACACATGTAGGGAACTGGGGAGGAACAACACATGTAGGGAACTGGGGAGGAACAACACATGTAGGGAACTGGGGAGGAACAACACATGTAGGGAACTGGGGAGGAACAACACATGTAGGGAACTGGGGAGGAACAACACATGTAGGGAACTGGGGAGGAACAACACATGTAGGGAACTGGGGAGGAACAACACATGTAGGGAACTGGGGAGGAACAACACATGTAGGGAACTGGGGAGGAACAACACATGTAGGGAACTGGGGAGGAACAACACATGTAGGGAACTGGGGAGGAACAACACATGTAGGGAACTGGGGAGGAACAACACATGTAGGGAACTGGGGAGGAACAACACATCAAAATTTTCTCTGAGTGTAGTAAGAAGCTTTGAGTGTTTAGACGTTTGTTATGGTAAATAAAACTATTTTGTTTTTCTCTCTTATCTAATCTTTAGATAATGACATGACGAGTAGGCCCATATATTGTCTCGTGTTTGTCTTTTCTACTTATCTCAGTTATACGTTCCTTATTGTTTTAATATGTCACATAAATATTTCAATGACATTCTTCTGTCTCCTGTATTTGTCGTCTCTTCTTCAACTTGGCTGGTAGCATTTGAGGGGAGGGGCGATATGGAGGTGGAGGTCATAAGGGCTTATCCGAGAGGCACTTTTGCCGCCCTGTCATATGGGGGTTTAGGGCTGCGGGTGTTAACCTGGGTTCGATTTAAGCTCGGGTGTTCGGTCAGTCCGGGTGTTCGGTCAGTCCGGGTGTTCGGTCAGTCCGGGTGTTCGGTCAGTCCGAGTTGTTTTAACTAGCTCGGTGACCGAGAGAGCAGATTTAGGCAACTGCTCGTCTTCTACCTCGTGGGTTAGCGGGTGACACGACAAGCATCGTGTGGCCGACACGACACGGCAAACATCGTGTCACCGACACGGCAAACATCGTGTCACCGACACGGCACGGCAAACATCGTGTCACCGACACGGCACGGCAAACATCGTGTCACCGACACGGCACGGCAAACATCGTGTGACCGACACACGTGCTGCATCGTTTGGTGGTTGTCACGCGGGCAGTTACACACAACCCGTGTGGGACAGCTGTGTGGGACAGCTGTGAAGGTGACGTCACTCACATAAGGGGGGGGGGAAGATGACTGGCTGTGGAGAACACAGTTTTCGCTGACATAACCTCCCCCACACCCAGGCCCCAGGGTACATACACCAGCAGTGAACATTAAAATCCGGGGTCAGGAAATCAACCTGAGTCATTTTGGTACCGTCCCAGATCTCACTACCCCACCCCCTCGTCCCAAATCTCACTACCCCACCCCCTCGTCCCAGATCTCACTACCCCACCCCCTGGTCCCAAATCTCACTACCCCACCCCCTGGTCCCAAATCTCACTACCCCACCCCCTCGTCTCAAATCTCACTACCCCACCCCCTCGTCTCAAATCTTACTAGCCCACCCCCTCGTCTCAAATCTCACTACCCCACCCCCTCGTCCCAGATCTCACTACCCCACCCCCTCGTCCCAGATCTCACTACCCACCCCCTCGTCCCAAGTCTCACTACCCCACCCCCTCGTCCCAGATCTCACTACCCCACCCCCTCGTCCCAAATCTCACTACCCCACCCCCTCGTCCCAGATCTCACTACCCCACCCCCTCGGGTTATCATCACTTTATATCAAAACGTCGACCCAATATATTGCACTATTCCACTCTATCGATACAGTTTTTAACCACAGTATCGATACGTTTTTAAAAGCCGTAACGATAGATTTTGACCCACAGTATCGATACGTTTTTAAAAGCCGTAACGATAGATTTTGAACCACAGTATCGATACGTTTTTAAAAGCCGTAACGATAGATTTTGAACCACAGTATCGATACGTTTTTAAAAGCCGTAACGATAGATTTTGAACCACAGTATCGATACGTTTTTAAAAGCCGTAACGATAGATTTTGAACCACAGTATCGATACGTTTTTAAAAGCCGTAACGATAGATTTTGAAACAACGTACCAGAAGGAATGGGTTTGAACCCAAAGTTCCTACCTCGCTCGTCAGCCTCACCACCAGCTCCCACCGTCATAGTTGTTCACACAGGTCCTACACTGATCCTACAGGATGTCCTGATGTCCTCTTAGCAGGACCATTCAATAGTCCTGAGTTCCTTGTGTAAAAACTACTCACCAACCCTAATTGTCTGATATATAACGTTTTATATTTAGATTATAAAAACTGAATACATTTCTCTTTTAGTGCGACATATTGTAGGCTAATTGTGTGATTAATGAAAGCTAACGAACCAGCGATAGTGCGACAGTAGACCGCAGCTAAATGTACTCGTCAGTGACAGCTTATTGGACGGGCTTTCACTGAGAGCTTACTCATGCTTATCATAAATAGGTTGGGCTTTTCGTGGATTTTTTTCATAGAAAGGGGCTGCCTTGGAAGTGTTACAGCATTGCATTTTGGTTTATAAGAAAGCCCTTTGTATGTATAATACTAATTACTATTTACACATATCGGCATTCGTGTACTGCCCAGGCGTCATAAGGGGGTGCGAGGGGGAAGATCGCACCTAACGAACTCAAGGAATAATAAGACATTAAACACTGACCCGTTTAGCGATGACATAAAACACTGACCCGTTTAGCTATTTACATTGTCAAGTGACCTTCGATTAGTCAACACAAGTTATCCCAAGCTGTAACCCTAGCTATAAGCTTTAACTTGAACCTAACCCCCAACGTTCATAAAGGGCATGTGAGGGAGTCTGTGTTGGTTATAGCCCAATCAATTAATTAGAACAAGAAGATTAACATTAAACGGGTGTTAATTTTATACAGATAGGATTTTCAAAACATGTTACGTTAGTTTGTATCGGAGAATTTTGTCCATTACTTACTTGTATTATAAACATGTTACGCTAGTTTGTATCGGAGAATTATGTCCATTACTTACTTGTATTATAAACATGTTACGCTAGTTTGTATCGGAGAAATATGTCCATTACTTACTTGTATTATAAACATGTTACGTTAGTTTGTATCGGAGAATTATGTCCATTACTTACTTGTATTATAAGTGTAATCCCGTCATGTTGGCTAGACAGAAACCAATAAACTAATTGTTGGAATAACTGGTACAGTTACGCTAAACATTGGACAACCTGGCAAATCTATCAATCTCGCCAAATTGCCTTAGATGTCCGTACAGATAAAGTAGCCAGATTTACTTAATGCATTGAGCCAACTTTGATTAGCGCTCGTAGAATTATCTTACGTTATAATTATTGCTAGCCTACTTTACTATCAGACTAAAAATAATTAACCTTAGATCGCATTGTCTGACAAGATAAGTTTTTTCTAATTGATCTCATTGCCAGCTGAAGAGTCTCTAGTTCCTTTTTCTTATCTTTGTCAGACATTCTTTTTTTTTTGTATTTGCCTTTAAACCTTGTGCATTTGTTGTAATATTTTTGACCTGAGAACATTTGTCCTTAATATCATTTGTCATTAGATCATATGTCATGAGATAATTTGTCATAAAACCGTTTAATCATATGGTGAGTTCATCAAGTGTTTAACTTTGTTATATTGTGTTGTGTGTGGTCTGATGATGGTTTAACGTTTTTGTTATATTGTTCTGAGCAATGTTCTGGTAATGTATAGCAATCTGGTATAACACGGTCTTTTATTCCCTATTCTAGCAAACATTTAAAATATTTTAACATTTTCTTAAACTCATTTTATTAGAATAATTAATCTTAAAGAAGAAACTAATCACACAAAAATCGATCATCTGCCGAACTAAAACATTACGAAAAATCTTAGAGGTAAAATAAAGTGAACAATTAAATAAACAAACAATACGTGTTTTATTCAAAACGAAATACTAAAGCAAAAAATGTTGTTGATGAATATTTGCTGATGTATAAAAATTTATTGGCAAGTAAATTTAATACAAATTAAACATTGTAAAACATTCAAAAGTTTTTTTGTAGTAAGTGAAATACAAAATATATATATATTTATTTCCCTTTGTCGCCGATAGTTATGGTTCATGCATGTCCACTGCTATTGTTGATCTACTTTCTTTTAATAAATTTAATATTTAAACCATAAAATGGTCAAATAAAAAGGTACTGTTTTTTTCTAATTTTCTAATTCCTATATTTCTGGACAACTGGTATTTAGTAAATTTAAAGTTTAAGCAAGTGCTAACCTTACGTTAGGGTTACTGCGGTTCTTCAAGTTTTTATTGGCTATTTTGGTCAAGTGACTAGATACAATTTTAACGACATTTTTTCAAGTTTAAATCTGAGTTTGCCATAGACAATAAATCAGCTGGTAAGTTGAGGGTCCATTGACGCACTTTTAAAATCACGCTATCAAACGGTGAAGCAGGCTACACTAGAATACTACATGCTATTCAAATATCTTCAAGTAATATTTTCAAAAAAATACATTATTTTTTTTGTTAAGTTTTTCATCATGCGAACTTAGATGTTAACTCTGCTCTCGAGCAAAGTTGTTCTCCAACAAACTTAAAAGAAAATACAACACATTTGTGTCACTTCTCCTTGTCCCCGACACAAAATGAAGGATAGGCCACATGCATGTCGCCTTCACATAGAGGCATCACAAGTAGTGAAAATATTGAGTTTTAAAAATACTAAAGCCATTTAGTGGCTATAGGGAGTAAAACATTGCTCTAGCATTTTTATAAAAGTAAATACATAGAGGCATCACAAGTAGTGAAAATATTGAGTTTTAAAAATACTAAAGCCATTTAGTGGCTATAGGGAGTAAAACATTGCTCTAGCATTTTTATAAAAGTAAATACTGAGTTAACATTGGTCCAGTGTATGGACTGGTGCCCTGGCCCTAGACGCTGTTGGTCAGCAGGAACTGTTCCTGTGCGTTGGCCGGCACGACGGGACCACACGCCTTGGAGGCGATGAAGCGGTGGACCTGGGACACAATGTCGTCGATATCCGGTCGGCGGGCCGGGTTCTTGTCCGTACAGCGAACGATGAGTTTCTTGAGGCCCCCCAGGGCCGAGTCCGCCAGTCGGCTCATCTGCTCCAGCATGTACCCCAGGCTGTAGATGTCCGACCTGGTCGTGGTTCTCGCCCCCTCTCGGACCTCGGGTGCCAGGAAGTTGTACTTGCTCATCTGGTCCTGCGGCAGTTGAAAGGTCAGGCCTTGTTTGTACGTTGCCATGCCAACATCAATGTAGCGAATTATCTTACGTCCTGCAGAGTTAAACATACGATTTGTATGACTGAGTGTGCAATTCTGTTGTTTACACAGGTAAGTTAATTATTTTATCAGATGAGCAGTATTTAATAAAATGAGAAAAATTCTTATGGCCAGAAGTGTGTACAATTCTCTGTCAAATATGTGTAAAACTTACTAAAATGTTTATGGTCCGAAATGTGTAAAACATTTATTGTAATATTTGTGTTACAGTACTTGTACTCCACTCCAACGAATATAAATTATTATATACATTTATTTTTCGCTAAACGTAACTGGTTTGGAATATACTTAAATTAAGTAGTAGGATTAAGTTCGTTAGTTTAATATGAGTTTCATATACACATGATCTAATCACGTGGACTTCATTGCATGAAATTAATCCAAATATGGATCAATAAAATCTTAGGGGCAGTAATTTTTAGTTTCCTAAATATTTGTGCTACACACACACAGGACCGTGCTACACACACACACACAGACAGGACCGTGCTACACACAGACAGGACCGTGCTACACACACAGACAGGACCGTGCTACACACAGACAGGACCGTGCTACACACAGACAGGACCGTGCTACACACACACAGACAGGACCGTGCTACACACACAGACAGGACCGTACTACACACACAGACAGGACCGTGCTACACACACACAGGACCGTGCTACACACACACACAGGACCGTGCTACACACACACACAGACAGGACCGTGCTACACACACACACAGGACCGTGCTACACACACAGACAGGACCGTGCTACACACACAGACAGGACCGTGCTACACACTTAGACAGGACCGTGCTACACACTTAGACAGGACCGTGCTACACACACAGGACCGTGCTACACACACACACAGGACCGTGCTACACACACACACAGGACCGTGCTACACACACACACAGGACCGTGCTACACACACACACAGGACCGTGCTACACACACACACAGGACCGTGCTACACACACACACACACAGGACCGTGCTACACACACAGACAGGACCGTGCTACACACACACACAGGACCGTGCTACACACACAGACAGGACCGTGCTACACACACAGACAGGACCGTGCTACACACAGACAGGACCGTGCTACACACTTAGACAGGACCGTGCTACACACACAGGACCGTGCTACACACAGGACCGTGCTACACACTTAGACAGGACCGTGCTACACACACAGGACCGTGCTACACAGACAGGACCGTGCTACACACAGACACAGACAGGACCGTGCTACACACACACACAGACAGGACCGTGCTACACACACACACAGACAGGACCGTGCTACACACAGACCCAGACAGGACCGTGCTACACACAGACACAGACAGGACCGTGCTACACACACACACAGACAGGACCGTGCTACACACAGACACAGACAGGACCGTGCTACACACACAGACAGGACCGTGCTACACACACAGACAGGACCGTGCTACACACACAGACAGGACCGTGCTACACACACAGACAGGACCGTGCTACACACTTAGACAGGACCGTGCTACACACACACAGGACCGTGCTACACACACAGGACCGTGCTACACACACAGACAGGACCGTGCTACACACAGACAGGACCGTGCTACACACACAGACAGGACCGTGCTACACACACACAGGACCGTGCTACACACACACACAGGACCGTGCTACACACACAGACAGGACCGTGCTACACACACACAGACAGGACCGTGCTACACACACACAGGACCGTGCTACACACACAGACAGGACCGTGCTACACACACAGACAGGACCGTGCTACACACAGACAGGACCGTGCTACACACAGACAGGACCGTGCTACACACAGACAGGACCGTGCTACACACAGACAGGACCGTGCTACACACAGACAGGACCGTGCTACACACAGACAGGACCGTGCTACACACACACAGACAGGACCGTGCTACACACAGACAGGGCCGTGCTAGAGAAACTAGGGATTGCAAGCTATACTAACCTCCCGTTAAATCAATTAGAATGTTGTCCGCCTTGAGATCATTGATTAAAATGTTTTTTCGGTGAATCAGCCGTAGTCCGGCCACCAGCTGACCAACAATGTCCAGCCACTCGTCCCTGGTCAGGGCAATTTTGTCGGACAGGACGTTGAAGAGCGTGCGGCCATCGCCAAAATACTCCATGATGATGCAGTACTCGCTGGGCTGTTTGCTCACGTCGAAGCGTCGCCTGAGGCCATAAAACTTTGGCGTGATGCCTGTCTCCTGCAGGAACATTAGCATTCTGGCTTCGTGGATGACCAAGTCCCACGAGCTCGACTCGTAGAAATCTTTGATAGCCACCTCAATGATGCCATCCAGAAGACCCAGATAGACGCAGCCGTAACTGCCGCGACCAATCTCCGCCCAATCCCCGTTCTCATCGCACGCAAAACGGACACGCTCTTTCTCTATGGCTGGGACTTTGATCTGATCTAAAGAAAACTTATGATAGCCAGCTTTGTGGGCGTTGTTACACCTCTGGTGACCGGAATTTTTTCCAGAAGAGCGCAATGTTTTCGATCCAGGTCCTTTTATCTTATGTGCCGCATTAGTACAGACTTTTCTTTGATCGCCCGCATCAATGTTGTTTTTAGAATCTCTTTGCATGTCTTGATCACCAGACAAAGGTGGGCCGTCCACCCCGGTCTTGTCCGACGCCTTAGCATCACCACACGGAGCATCGTCCACCAAATGTTCTTTACTCTCGGCTTCATCGTTGCTTTCTTCGCTGTCTCCTTCCTCTTCTTCGTATATCTCTTCTTCGTCTTCTTCCACCTCTTCTTCCTCGTCCTCTTCCTCATCTTCATCGTCTTCATCTTCATCATCTTCGTCCCCTTCATCCTCCCCACACTCGCCAGACTTGCTGTCATTCTGCAAAGCTTCACTCCAAGCCTCCCTATGAACGAACTTAGTCGCGTCTGGAGCTCGCCTTTGTAAGAGTCGGTTCTTCTCCCCGTCCTCAAAGTACCATTGTGTAAATGCCTTTTTGCTTGACGTATCACCTTGACCAAAACAGTTCCGCTGCCCACAGAATGGCACTTTGTCTATTTGTTGTTGATTGAGTTCTCTTTCGCTGCAGCTCGCTTTATTCTCAGACGTCGCTTGCCTTTCTAAAGTCTCCTGAAGTTTTTCAGCATTGCATTTCTGTCTGTACGAGGATATAACTGTTGCGTGCTCATCGTTTGAGGGATATAAATTCATAAGAAGATCTTCTTTGGGGGCTCCGTTGAAGACATCAAACTGCGAATTAGGACCGCCAGCTCCGTAATAACTCATCGGATCCGGATGGTTGCATGTGTCGTCCATTTCCTGTGCCTCGTTTCTAATAAATTTTCCCCTCAGTTTAACGCTGGAAAATTGTGACATCTCCTCGGAAGCTGAGGTAAAGTCTTCATCGCTGTCGGCCATCTGGGCATCGGTGGGCCTGTGATTGTTTTTGCGGAGCTCGTCCGTCTGCCTCCCACCCCGGCCAAACATGTTCCCGCTTCCATTGATATTTCGAGTGGCGAAGTTAGATAGCAAGTTGGACTGTGTGTGGGGTTTCAGCAGCTCGTACGGGTTGCAGGTCTGCTCGTGGGACCCGCAGCACGGATCTTCACACGCCTGCAGCTTACCGCGTCGCTTAAAATGGTCGTTTGCTGCTTGGAAGCTTTTAGCGTCCTCGCATTTCTTATCCACTATTGTTGAGGCCAGTAGTTTGCCATGGTAACCGCTGACTCTGACGCCATTTCTCCCAGCAAGATCATTGTGCTCGTCTTCTTCCTCCTCCACGCACAGGTGGCCGTTACCGCTCGAGTTGTCAGACGAGGAAGAATCGTAACCGTTGTTGGCGCTCTCGTTCCAATTCCTGGTCACAAGATCGCCGTGTGCCTTGCCCAGGTCCTCGCTGCTCGGGGGGATCCATTGATATTCTGTGGGCGCCGAGTTGAAACGTGCGCGCCCAAAGAGACGCGATGATGTGTACGAGTCAGTGAACTCAGTAGCAGAGGCCTTGAGGTAGGACGATTTGTAGGCGGAATCAGTGTAGTTGTAGTTAAGCTTGGGATACGTCCCATACGAGTGAAAATGTTTCCGCAAAATGGGGGCCCTAGAGATCTCGCCTGGATCGCCGTACCTAGTCACTGTCTTTGAGAAGTTGGTATTTTCTGACGTATTGTCTGACACCAAGTCTTCCCCGACATGATACCTGTAGTCAGTTTTCCTTGATGAGTAGCGGCTAATTAGTAATTCTTCTTTAGTTAAAGGGGTGTTGACTTGATCCTCGCTATGAAACGTGCTTAGCTCGTTCCTTAAGAAAGCTGATTTGAAAGGGATTTTTAAATGTAACGCTGGCATCTCTTCACTAACGGACACAGTTTTTTCTTGTGATGTAGAATGCACATCCACATTGGTCAAACGACCGACGGGTTTGGATGCGACGGCGCTAAGGTTGTGGTCGATTGAATCTAGTTTGTTAGCGTCCAACTTGCCCCGGGTCTCGCTAGCCGTGGAAGAGCTGGACAGCTTGGCACTAATGTTGGACAAGGATTTGTCTGATAGTGTCTTATCGCTGGCGTAGCTGATTTCCTTCAGCTTACTTTTACACTCGTTGACGAAGGCATTGAAATCACTTTTAGACCGATCGTATGGAGTGTGAGATTCTTCTATAATAGGAGTCAGCAAACATGACTCGAAGGCGTCACATTCAGCAAGACTCTCTGGTTCCATATCAAAGACGTCAATCTTCTCAGGCTGGGAAGCGAGTTTACGCTCCATCAATTCCTCCATCATTTTGCGGTACATAATGTCGTGTTTGAAATGTTTGCAGCTCGTTAAAATCTTTTGCTTTAAATCCTCTGTGATTGAGGATGTAGAGGACAAACTATGTGCGGGTACTGGTAAGACCTTCAAGTTACTCGCTATTCGCGAGATCCCACACGCCTTAAATATCTGTGACCTGTTGCTTAGGTTGACGCTCTCGTCCACGTATGAATGTTCCGGGCTTTTTTTCAGTTTTGATTTTGACTTTTTGTGTTTGGATGTGTTGCTTGAATTCTTGTGCTGTCCTTTTGGGGATGGAAACGATTGGCCGCTGTCAGCTGACCCAGCCATGGTTTTTAAGACCGGAGATTTTCTGCCCTCGGCGTTGGCTATAGGGGACTTGGCCCTATTGCTCGGTCTGTGAGGCTCGCTGGCTGCAGTCGAAAGACGGCGGCGTTTCGGAGACGGCGAATGCTTTTTCTGCGATGGTTGACCAGACGTAGATTTGTTATTTATCTCAGCCGTTTCTGATTTAGTTTTAGATGGAGACCTGCTCTTCCCGCCATGTTTCTCTGTACCAGCACTATCCCCTTTCATCGCCCGAGCAGATTTCTTGGTTCCCTGAGTGCTCTGTTTTTTCTGCTTTGATTCTGGTGAAGCAGGCTTGATCTTACTTTCTGACTTCTTGTTCTTTGATCCACTTTTAACCATGTTCGTGCTGTCTTCGCCTCCAGGCTCCTGAAGCTGTACATCTTCGGCCGGGTGACTCGGCTCAACTTTGGCTTCGCATGCATCTTTCGTTGGTGACATTTCCTTGGGTGTTTCTATTTTGGGTATAGCTTCTTTAGCTAATGCTGTAGGCTTATCATCCCTTTCCACATTCAGATTTATTAGTTCTGAGCCTTTTATCTGCAAATCAAGCTCCTGTGGAATGGCATTGCCCTTCTCCATCTGTTCGAACTTCTGTCGCACTGGGGAGGTCCATTTCTTAATTGCTTTGTCGAACAACACTTTGACTTGGCTGTCTAGGATGGACTGCAAAAACTTTAACGACGTAGGTTTCTGCTGCGATTCCGTTTCTTTCTCAACACTGGTATCACGCTTCTTTTTTATTCTACCCTCCTCATATTTTGTTTCTTGGTCCAGACTAAAGTCTTGATTGCTGGGCTCTTCGTCGATAGGCGTTATGCATTTATCGTCTTCCTTACACATGTGCCATCCATTCAAATAGCTGTAGCCGTCGACACTGCTTGATCGTATCTCTTCCAGACTGATGTTTTCCGACATGTCCATTTCCTGATCTGAAGAATACTTTGAGTTTAACATGGCAGCATTTCTCAGCGCGTTGGCCATATCCTGGATAGTCGGCACCTTAGGCGTACAGTCTGACGCAGCTGAACATTGATCACATGATCTCACTCGGCCAATCATATCTTGGTATCTGAGGAAAACGCTTGATGCGTCCGTCACTTGGCTGGTGAGATCCGGAGACTCCAAAGTGTTGTCCTCCACCGAGTGGGTCAGGGAATCTGAGCTCCCGAAACCAAAAGCTCCCGTGTTCCATTTGGAACTGTTGGAACGGTTTTGTTTAGCCGTAGAAACAAACTTTTCTTTACGCTTGAGATGGGGGTTTGAATTTTCTTGTAATCCGGCCACATGTCTTGAGGCCTGACCCAACTTTCTATTGACATTTTTTTGTTGGCCCAGATTGTAACCAGAAATAAAATCATCGCATAGTGACGACGTGTAGGTCATATCATCACTCAGACAGTCCATCTCTGGCTGGAGCAGGTACTGCACGTTGTCCGACTCATCAGTGGTGACGTTGTCCCACGAGAAGTGACGCTCCTGGTTCTCGGTGTAACTCGACGATTTGTTGCACGTCTTGTTCAGGTGGTCGAGCACACGGGGCTCATCATTGGAGCCCTCAGAATGAGCAGACGCCGCGTGTTTCAGCGCCTTCTTTAGCATCTTTTTCCTGTATTTCTTTTTCTTTGTGTTCTCACACCTCACTTGTCGTGGGCTGATTCTATTCGCTCCGTTTTCTTCACTGGCCGAACTAGCAGATGCAACGACAAATACTGTGACGTTATCTAAATATGTCGCTCCCTCGTCGTAGCAATTTTCAGAATTATTCCTTGTTTTATTGTGGGAAATATGACTGTCTTCGAAACAATCTTTCTTATCATTTTTCGGTCTGTGGGCTCGGCATGCGCATTGACAATCTTTGGTTGTTTTTCTTGTATCTTGTGTTTTAAGCTGACACCGTGAGCAGGCACATGCGTTTAAAAGTTGCTCGTGACTTGACAAATGAGCATTTGCGCCACAGCCTCTGGTCTTTTTATGCACTGCAAAGCTATCTCGTGCAGTTGCTCCTACGTTGGAGCTGCTAATCACGCGTTTGACGGTCGTTTGGCCTTCATTGGCTTCATCGTCGTTACAGCCACACCTGACGTGTCTATCAACGGGCGAGTCTTTACGACAGAGACGTGTCTTGTTGCTCCTGTGTTTGACGCTCCTAGACCGCGGTCTGTGGCCGAATGAGATTTGGCAGACCTCCCTGTCACAAGACGAGTCTCGCTTGTCTCCCGCACAAACGCTCAGACTTTCAGCACTCAGAGATCGGCCAGTCTTGGCACGGCGCCTCTCTGCTGAACGGATCCTAGCCCTCAGTCTAAGGTTCGACGACTGTGGGCGCATCCTTTTCATTCCTCGGCGCGTGAGAGAGCCCAGAGACAAAGGACGAGACAGGTAATTCATGATGTCTTTCATGTTACGGTTTGAAGGGAGAGCACAACATTTTTTATTGGACTCGAGCTTTGTGTCTGAGTGCTTACTCAATTCTCTTGACACAGACCGGACGTAAGACACCTTTGGTTTATTAGCTTTAACCTCTGTTCGTGTTTTTCGGCAAGTCTTAGAGCAGTTAAGATTGTCTAGATTTGTGTTGACTTCAAAGTCTTTTGTGAAGTATTGCTGCTCTGTGTTTTCTCCCTTGTCTGATTTGGGTGTTTTTCTGGCATCGTTTTGTGTTTGAATGGCTGCGTTTCTTGAGCTCGCTACCTGAACCTTGACCCCTCTAGTGATGGGCTTAGGTGCTGGGGGCACCGAGGTATCGACTCCGACACTTCTAGATGAACACAGCTTACAGAGAGAGCTTAATCTGTCAAAGTCGTGTGACACTTCTTTGTTGGGACTTTGTTTGAGTTCAACGTTTGAAGAATTTTCCTCCGTTACAGACAGAGATGCAACAGTACAGCTCTGATGGGGTGTGACGTTTGAATGACCTGTAGGTGCGATGTTGACGCTGTTGTCAAACACTTCGTTTGAGTGATGCATTGCCGTCCGGTTGTTGGGAAAAGCAATGTTATGGTTCATGTCCATGAATGGACTTTCTACTGATTCACTAGTGACAGAGGCTTTTATCTTCTCTGTTTCTCTTCTCTCTTTGATCTGTTGGATCCATCGAGCCGTGTCTCTCGATGTTTCGTTGGAGAAAAGCAACAACGGCGAATAGTTGTTGGATAACGAGGCAGCAAAAAGAAGAGCTTTAATACTGTTCTGACGAATCTGCTCAAAAGCTTCATCGTCGTCGTTGTTGACAGACATAGACGGCAGGGATTTGACAAATTCGTTGAATTCCTCGTTTTCCAGGTGGCACGTGGACCGCAGATTAAAGATTCGGCGGAGGTTGTAGTTATCGAAGTTACCCTCTGTCGAAGAGAGGTGGGTGCTTGCTGAGGAAGAAACGTTGTCCATATCCAGCAGTCGTAGCGTGTCCACCACCCCACAGTGGTAGGCGAAGTCTGGGTACAACAGGTCACCACCAGACGACGAGTTCCTGTCTCTTTCGGCATTAGAAGAACAGTTCTTGTTTTTTGACAAGGCTGCTAGATCAGATGCACCTGATTCTATGTCCAGGTAATCGTCTTCCGGTACAAAGTGGCCAGGACTGTTGGAAGAATCGACGTGGGTTTGTCGTCGCCTCCTGGGGACCTGCACGCCGTCGGCACTGAGCTTCTGTGGACACGTTCTCCTGCTACTGTCTGATCTCTGCCTGCACTTGTTGTTGCTGGCGTCCATGCTCTCTGAATCGTCGTTCGGTATAAACTGGCTCGGTACAAATAAAAACGGATTTTTTCTTGGCGACGAGAAACAAGAACCTGAAGACTCGTCTGTATCGGCGTGGGTGTTCAACTTGAGCGCCATTTTTGCAGGGCTCTCTTTGCTTCGGTGAGTCTTTGAGCTGGGTATAACTTGGGGAGTTCCAATATAATCGACCTTTTCTGAAAGCTGCCCAGATGACTCACTGCTGGGTTTTTGCTGCTTGCGCGTATACGTGGGCTGCTCGGGCGTAATCACCTGACTAAACTTATCGATTGGCCGAGATTCCAGACGACTTCTCGACGAGTTGGACCGCGACCGTAAGCTCATTTTACTAGCACTGGATTCATCAGAGAGGGGCACACCTTCAGCTTTACGTGAGTAGCTAATAGAGTAGTTTCGGTGTTTGGCAGCTCTGGGAGCCGGCACGGGGCTGTGGTGTCGGAGGGCGTGGTCACGTGTCTGTGAGCAGCTGTGAGTGTTGTCTTGCTCCAGCTCCTGTAGCCGTCTCTGGCGATCCTTGATGTACTGGCTGTCTCGCATGTATTTCTGCATGTTCTCGTCCACACGCCGTCCGCTCGAGCGTGTCGGCAATGTTTTGCTCGAGTTGTTGGAGACGGGAATGGCGTGACACGAGCTTTCATGAAGGGTCGAGCACTCTGAGCTCAGCGAGGTGTCGCCCTCCTCTGGACAGCACTTGACAATTTTTATCCCTTTTGGTGAAGTTATCATTTTCACCGTGCCGTTCTGTATAGAGACGGCAGTACTTTTGGAACTTGGGCAATTTTTCGAATCTTCTGAGCGGCGGAAAGTGATTCGACCACGAATTTTTCGAATATGAGCTGGACTGCACATGTCACCGGAAGGTGAGTTTCTGCATATGTCCTCATCATTGTCGCACTCCGATTTGGTTATATCGGAGTCACTTTGCAGGTCTGACGTATCTCCCTCTCGCCGTTTGTAATCATGAGAGCGTCTCTGCTTGCTTTCCTTGCTAGAGTGAACTTGGAGGTACCTGGAGGTGTCTTTGAATTTTTCTGTTGTAGTATCTAGGCTATCGCGGTGCTCTGGGGACGACTCATTAGTCTTGTATAACTCTTGAAATCGCATGGAGCCTCTGGATTGGTTAGACGCGACATCGTTGTCGGGATTAGAGCTGCTCGAGGACGGCTTGCTGGAATCTTTATCTGGAACAAAGATTGGAGATTCCAGCTTGTTGTCATCTGTGTCAAGTGAAGGGGGCTCGTCCAGGGTGGGCGAGTCGCTCTTATCAGAATATGACGCGTCATCGTTGTCACTCTCGTGCTTAGTGTCGTTGACCTGGAGCGGGTTGTGAGTAGATGAGACGTGTCTGTCCATGGGAGAGGCTTTCCATGACGACGTTTCGTACGAGTTGATTGTTTGTCGCTCTTCACAAGTTGCCACCTTGGGATCCTCTTGGTATGAGATCCTTGACGTTTTAGATCCATTACGGGTTGATTTTGTTGGCGACTCGCTTTCTCTGCGACTATCTGATTTTCTCGATTCCGATGTTTTTCTACTTGAATTTCTTTTTAACGAGCTAGAAACGAGTAGACTATCGCAGACAATGGACTGTGCATCATCCTCGAGATCCCAGCCTCTACCCGCGCTGCTCGATCGGAGTTGGAGCAACCGCATTTTCTCGCAATACTCCTTGTAGTGATCGTCAAAAGGCTTACCTCGTGATACGCTGTCGTCGCTCTTTTTTTCAAAAAACCGCTTCTTTTGAGGACTAACCGTAGTAATCAATGTATCAAAACAATCTAAACTTGGGTTGTTTGGGTCGCTGCAGTCTGAAATGCATGTCTCATGCTTTTGCTGTGAAATATAATTTTTGGGCGTCATGACAACAACGTTTGCCTCCTCCCTGATCGAATGATGACGTGAAGCTCGTGTTGAAGGTCGAGGGCGTTTTTCCTTTTCTTCCTCTAGCCCGGAACAAACACTGCTAGATTCAGACGCACATCTCCCGGTGGAATAAACACCTCCTGACCTGACATACTTTGCCGACGAACCGCCGGATAGAACTTTACTTCCCTTGGAGGGTCTCTGGTCCTGGGACTGAGATGAGCGGCGTCTGACTGAAGGTCCAGAGCTTTTTCGACCTTCAATAGCTGCAGCTGTTGATTCGCTGTGAATTAAGATTTGTGACTCATTCTCTCTAAACCTCCCATGTTCAGTTTCGTACGAATGCGATTGTGGAACTATGACAAACTGCTCCATATCTGTTATAGGCAACGAGTCACTTCCTTTGGCGCACTCACCTCGGCTGGGATGGGATTTCCTTCCGACGATCACGTTCGACCACCCATCATAGATGTGGTCCACATTTTGTTTTTGTTGGACTTCTTGTGCAGAGTGCTCAGCAAAACTAACCCTAGACTGGAAATGGGATTCTGTTGGCGGGGAGTATTTCCGTATGGCGTCTGTTTCACGTGGGGGAGTGACCTGCGCGATGACGTCTTTGCCCATCTCTAAGTACGTTTTAAGCCTAGAGCTCTGAGTTTTGCTCTGTTTCATGTCAGACTGTTCAAAACGTTGACACGGGTCGTAGACCTGTTGCTCTTGGCCCCTCTGTAAATATTTATCGCATATATCGTCTCGGGGATATTTCTTGTAATCAGAGCACTGGGCACAGATCTCAGACATTCGTTTGTGTGAGGCTCTCCTGTCGTAGTCCTCGTACACGTTTGCTTTTCTTGGAGGTAAACCCTTTTGAGACTGTGGAGTGGAGCAGATTGAAATAGAATCAACAAACTGGCTCTCCGTTCGAGAATCGTAAGATTTTTTCTCAACACTAATTCTTTTTGATTCCACGATACTCTTTCGAATGGATGGAACTTGCACCGGTACTCTGTCTATCTCTATTGTCATTTCCTCTGGGAGTAGAGTAACCTCTTGCAAAGATTTTCCCGAGGATTTTCGAGAAAGTGGGTGTGGAGCTGGTGTTTCTGTTGGCGACTCTGGCAGGGCTATAGCTGGGGACGACGGCTGGGTGGATTCTAATGAGAAATCCACAAAGGATTCACGCCGGTCGTGAGCTGCTGCCTCTATGTGTAAACTTTCTCTTCGAGGAGAAGGAAGTGCTGTGTCTGAGATTTGTAGACTTTCTCTTATGGGGGCAGGAGTTGCTGCGTGTGATATTTCAGGAATATCTCTTCGCGAGGGAGAGACTGTAGTTTGTGAAGCTAGCATAATGTCTCTTCGCGATGAGGAAAATGGTATTTCTGTAATATGGCGACTCTCTCTTTGTGAAGGGGAACCTTCTATTTCTTGAAAGTGGAGGCTATCTCTTCGTGAGGGAATGCCTGTTGTTTCTTGAATATGCAGGCTCTCTCTTCGTGAGGGAATGCCTGTTGTTTCTTGAATATGCAGGCTCTCTCTTCGTGAGGGAATGCCTGTTTCTTGAATATGCAGGCTCTCTTTTCGTGAGGGAATGCCTGTTGTTTCTTGAATATGCAGGCTCTCTCTTCGTGAGGGAATGCCTGTTGTTTCTTGAATATGCAGGCTCTCTCTTCGTGAGGGAATGCCTGTTGTTTCTTGAATATGCAGGCTCTCTCTTCGTGAGCTGTGGGGTACTTTCTCAGATACATGTATGCTGTCTCTTCTAGAGCTAGGCGCTGACGTGTAAGCGATGTCTTGCGTAAGCTCCTTTCTAGTTAGCAGCTCGTCATCTAAGTATTCAGTCGGTACTGGCGAGGCGGGTTCGACGTACTCTACGCTGGCCTGAAGCTTCCTCTGGGAGGTGTGTGCCGTCTTTTCTTTTTTGTTGACCTCCAGCGGAGGGGAGTAGTAGGACGGTCTCTTTGAGCCGGTGGGAGGGACTGAAGAGGACGACTTTCGGCGACCACGTACGTCCTCCTTCTCCGAGTCCAGCTTCTCCTGTGTAGAGAACTGGTCCGACGTATCCTCTCCGTCGTCCACCGCCTTACACGTTTTGGCCTCGTCACCGTCGTCGTCAGAATAGTTGGCAAACAGGCTGAAACAAAGTGCAATACGTCAAATATACAACTGATTATCAATCTTGCATATCAACCTGAAGCTTGTCAGGGCGGCGTGGCAAACTCGGCACTAATAACAACAAATACATTTTCAAAAAACGATATCCTAGCTCTTTTGTTTCTCGTTCTATTATTCCTTGTACTTTTTTTCTTTTTTTTAAGTCCGAAAAATTAAAACACTAATGACAATGTTATTAATATTCATAAATATTTCTTCACTCGAATTTATAACTATAAATTGTATTTTTTAATTGACCATCGGGTTGAACCGACTTAATGGCGTTTCATTCTCTTACCTGTCCATGCCAATATCAGGTCGGTACAGCCCCATCATTCCCGGGAATGAGTTGAACAGACTGTTCCTAAAGGCTATACAGCTAAGTTGGTCTCCAACAGCCTGAAGGACAAACAAGACTTATAAAGGCTTGATACAAAACATTGAGCAGTGCCTATGACTGTCTTCATTTGATCACTACTTGGAACACCCTCCATCCATCCTCACTAATCCGTCCACCCTCCCTCTATCCACACCCCTCCCTCCGTTCACCCTCTCCACACACACCCTCCCTCCACACACCCTCCCTCCACATACCCTCCCTCCACACACCCTCCCTCCACACACCCTCCCTCCACACACCCTCCCTCCACACACCCTCACTCCACACACCCTCCCTCAACACACCCTCCCTCCACACACCCTCACTCCACACACCCTCCCTCCACACACCCTCCCTTCACACACCCTCCCTCCACACACCCTCCCTCCACACACCCTCCCTCCACACACCCTCCCTCCACACACCCTCCCTCCACACACCCTCCCTTCACACACCCTCCCTCCACACACCCTCCCTCCACACACCCTACCTCTATCTACATCCCACCCTCCACACACCCTACCTCTATCTACATCCCACCCTCCACACACCCTACCTCTATCTACATCCCACCCTCCACACACCCCAACCTCCGCACACCCTCCCTCCTCCGCACACCCTCCCTCCACACACCCCACCTTACACACACCCCATCCTCCGCACACCCTCCCTCCACACACCCCACCCTACACACACCCTACCCTACACACACCCCACCCTCAACACACCCTCCCTCCACACCAGGGGCGTAGCGAGGGGGGGGGCGGGGGGTGCGGACCGCACCGGGTGACACCATTTAGGGGGGTGACACCAAGGCAAAAAATAGCAAAATATGTAGAGAAAAACTCGAGGGGGGGGTGCAAATCGAAAGTTTGAGGGGGGGGGGTGCAAATCGAAAACTTGAGGAGGGGGTGCAAATCGAAAGTTTGAGGGGGGGGGGGTGCAAATCGAAAACTTGAGGGGGGGGGCTGAAAATCGAAAGTTTGAGGGGGGTGCAAATCGAAAACTTGAAAGTTTGTCCCTGGGAAGGGTCTCTATGCCTCTAGGGGGGGTGACACCATTAAGTGCCGCACCGGGTGACACCCGACCTCGCTACGCCACTGCTCCACACCCTCCCTCTGTGATGCAGACAGAGTGAAAGTTTCAAAATGTACAGACAAATGACAGTTATTTGCCCAGTTCAATACCTAACTTAAGTTCATTAGTTTTATAAAACGTTATTTTTCGTGCATTGAAAAGCTTATTTATTTTACTTTTCCTAATGTACAGTTCACACCCTAACTTGTTTGCATGAACAAAATTCTTATTTTTTTTTATTTTTGTGTTACAAATTAATTTGGCTTTGTTAAACTATTGATGTTCTTATGTTTTTCAATGTACGATTTACTTCAATTGAGATTGTCGTGGCTGTAATCATTCTTATAGTCACGTGTTACGTTTTCTTGTGCTGTCGTCGCTTGGTTCAATTCTCATATTTTCTACACTTACTCCAGCCAACTCGAGTCGGGGAGAGGCAGGTTTACGCTGACCACTCCAGCCAACTCTAGTCGGGGAAAGGCAGGTTTACGCTGACCACTCCAGCCAACTCTAGTCGGGGAGAGGCAGGTTTACGCTGACCACTCCAGCCAACTCGAGTCGGGGAGAGGCAGGTTTACGCTGACCACTCCAGCCAACTCGAGTCGGGGAGAGGCAGGTTTACGCTGACCACTCCAGCCAACTCGAGTCGGGGAGAGGCAGGTTTACGCTGACCACTCCAGCCAACTCGAGTCGGGGAGAGGCAGGTTTACGCTGACCACTCCAGCCAACTCGAGTCGGGGAGAGGCAGGTTTACGCTGACCACTCCAGCCAACTCGAGTCGGGGAGAGGCAGGTTTACGCTGACCACTCCAGCCAACTCGAGTCGGGGAGAGGCAGGTTTACGCTGACCACTCCAGCCAACTCGAGTCGGGGAGAGGCAGGTTTACGCTGACCACTCCAGCCAACTCGAGTCGGGGAGAGGCAGGTTTACGCTGACCACTCCAGCCAACTCGAGTCGGGGAAAGGCAGGTTTACGCTGACCACTCCAGCCAACTCGAGTCGGGGAGAGGCAGGTTTACGCTGACCACTCCAGCCAACTCGAGTCGGGGAGAGGCAGGTTTACGCTGACCACTCCAGCCAACTCTAGTCGGGGAGAGGCAGGTTTACGCTGACCACTCCAGCCAACTCGAGTCGGGGAGAGGCAGGTTTACGCTGACCACTCCAGCCAACTCGAGTCGAGGAGAGGCAGGTTTACGCTGACCACTCCAGCCAACTCGAGTCGGGGAAAGGCAGGTTTACGCTGACCACTCCAGCCAACTCGAGTCGGGGAGAGGCAGGTTTACGCTGACCACACCTGTCTGGCCTTCAAACGTCGAGGACAAACTCTTCTGCATTTGCCTCATAGATCAGATAAATGAAAAGGAATCCCCCCCTCCGGTCCTCCTTGTAATTCTCGCGGTATCCACGCACATAATTATGCATGTATGAAAACAGAATATAATAAAATATATACATGTATATATATATATATATATATATATATATATATATATATATATATATATAATGTATATACACTAATGTCAATATATACAACCCCTATTCCTCATTATCAACGTATAACAACTTCCCTTATCACTTGTTGAATCGTCTTTTGTTTTTAAACGCTCGTTTCTCTTACCTGTCCATGCCAATAGCTGCTACCTATCCCCGATTATCCCAAAACTCCTAACTGAAAGTTTTAAATGTCAACTTACCTGCGCGATGTTTCCGAAAAAGTTTTTCCGACAGAATGCGATACCTCTGTTGCCACCCGGCCCCCAGCCACACGGGTGCCTTTTTTTGTCTCTCCTGTTACAGGGGGAGAACTTTAATTTGCACTTTTTATCCCCCTTTGTTCTAGGTGACTGTCTCTGCTCATGGTCGCGAACTGGGGAACTGCTTTTCGTCTCCCGTGGTGATCGCTTATTGCACGAGATTCGACTTTTGTGTTGAGGTTTGCACGGCGACGGTTGAGACTGGGCCTCGTCTTGTGTGTCCACTGGTGGCGGCTTGCTATCTGCCACTGTTGGTGGTGGCGGCTTGCTATCTGCTTTCGATTGTTTGCGTGGTTCTTTTGGAGTTTTCGTTTCTACTTTTGGAGATTGGGTCACGCCGTTAGGAGATTGGGTTCCACCTGTTGGAGGTTGGGTCACACCTTTAGGAGATTGTGTTTCATTTTTGGATGACTGAGTCTCCTGTTTTGGAGATGTTTGTACCTTTGGGGGTGTTTTTAGTTTTGTTTTCGGTTTCTGTTCGCTCTCTTGCTGTAGATTAGTTTCAGATCGTTGTTTTGTCTGTGGCGATTCATTTGAGACGTCCACCTCCTGCCTAGGCGGGGTTTGGGAGGGACAAGGTTGCCATTCTCTGAATCGTTTTTTCGTATCACCGACTTTGCAAACCAAGTTTGGATTGGGTGAGCTGTCTTTAGCATCAGTGGGAGGTGCTTCGTTTCTCTTAGCATCAGATGACGTCATCCGTGGGGTATGGACTTTGTAGCTGGGTGGAGGGGTGCGCACGGTGGTGTCTGAGTTGATGACGCTGCCCTCTAACAGCTGTTTAGTGAGGCTGCTTGTTTCCTTTGTCTCTGCGTTGTTCTGTGACATACCGCTGGAAGTGAGAACCACCTTGTAGGTCTCCTCACCCAAATGCTGCTTAAGTCGTTGTGGGGTCATGCTTGTCGCATCCTTATTGGCCTTTTTCTTCTTCTTTTTCGGGGAATTCTCCGCAGATGACGGGCGAACACTTTCAAAACGTCTGAAGCCTGGCGACACCCTTTCCTGCTTTTCAAAGTTCTCGTTATTGACATGATTAATTAGACCTCCGTGCACAAGCGCGTGTCGGCGAACGGGAGGCTCAGACTGTGTCCTGGATTTATGGACGACAGAAATGTTCGAACACTCTGTGTTACTGCGGTCTCTGGAATATTCCATGCTTTGGGGGATGTCGCCAGAGGTAAGCGTGTTCAGGGTAGACGGCCGCCTCGCTCCCCCAAGTTCACTGGCCAGCGACTGCTCGATCTCGTTACTGAGTCTCACGAAGTTCTTGGCCTTGTCCAACCCGCTCTGTATGACGGCGTCCATGATGAAACCTCGACCAAATTCAGCACTCGCTCGCCTGTCGTTATAACTGCGTGTAGTCACACCATCCAGACTTGACCTCGCCCTCCGGTTAATGTATCTTTCCGCTCTCTCGCCGTCATAGCCCCGGGCGTCTTCTGCCCGCCCCCGATTGACGCTTACATTCTGCGCCACGGTCCGGGGGCGGGATTCCGATCGGTTTCTTTTTAAATAACCTGACTCGGAATTCTGATTCACATTTTTAGTCACGACAGTATTGAAATCTGAATTTTGATATTTGCTTTCAAGTTGGACAGACAGCCCACTGCTGTTCGTGTCTGAAGCCTTTGGGGTAAAGCTAGACTTTGTACTTAGCCTGGGTTGTCTTAACGGGTTTTCGCTTCTGCTCTCCGACATAGCGAATTAGTTTGGCCTTACCTACATTTTGTGCTGGAAAATTCGATACTGACCAAAAGCGACGTAGCTACTTCTGTTTGCGATGTCAACCATTGATTTATCTAGTTAAATAATTCCGGAACATTATTCTAAGTTTCGAGCGGCCATTGCAATTTTAAGACGTGTAAACATGGAAACGACGTCACGAGTTTTAGATGTTGTCGAAGCGCTTTGTCTTCGAGGATTCCATGACAAACTAAGTCAAAATAAATAGGCTTTACAAAACTGCAGTGTTGTCACTTATATAAGGATAAATATATTTTTAACAGTCTATAATATGAAGTTTTTATTTATTGAAATAAATGAAAAGTAAATGACCTTTAGATATTATAATGCATCTCTTTTTAATTATTGTCGAAAAACGTCGACGTCTCGTGTTTTTAAAAAAGTGTATCTAAAAGTCGATTTGCAATTAATAAATGATTCTATTCATTCACCAGTACACAACTATGTTATTCAATATTAATATTAACAGTTTTTACATACATGCATGGCGGATCATTATTATATTTAAACAAAAGAACGTTTTTTCTCTATTTTCTGAGTATATATATATATATATATATATATATATATATATATATATATATATATATATAATATAATATATATATATATAATATATATATATATATATATATATATATAATATATATATATTATATATATATATATATATAATATATATAATATATATAATAAATATAATATATATAATATATATAATATATATAATATATATATAATATATATATATATATATATATAATATTATATAATATATATATATATATATAATATATATATATATATA